ATATATTTCATAAAAATTGTCTACGTTCATGGTTTCAACGACAACAAGCTTGTAAGTTAATATGAAAAGAATTTCTTTTTTGTTTGATTAAAAATTCAATATTAGGTCCCATCTGTCGAAAACCTGTCTTACGATCTAGAGGAACACCAACTCCTAATGCACCTGCCGCAGCACCACAACAACCAGCCCAAGCACCTAATGCTGGAGGTATAATTAAAGAGAAGAAAACAATTTATTATTAATAATTTCCTTTTGTTTAATTTCTAGTTCAAGCAGCTCCCGTTGGCATCGCTCCACCACCTTCATTTAGTGCACCTCCACCACCTCCAACTTCTACTTCATCATCAACGACACCACCTGTCTTTAACTTCACACCATTAAATTCAACAACTACTCAAACATCATTACCATCGGTAAATATTCCACAAATACCATTTGGCTCATTTCCCATGGTATTACCACCATTCGGTACGTTTCTTTAATAATAAAAACAAACAATTAAAAAGTATACATGTTATTTCTATCAATTAAGCTTTTCCTCCACCACCTTTACCTCCTCTTAATTTTACTGGAATGACCGACGAAGCAATTCGAGCTATGGAAGGAATTGAATTAGCCCATGTTCAAGCACGTATACAATGTTTGCGTAATGTAAGAACTTTATTAGATGCATCAATGATACAAATGCAACAATATATGAATATCGTATCAACACAAAGGTTTGTTATTTTTTATTAATTTTATTAATATTTTATTTTATTTTTATATATTAGTAATATGGATAATGGTACAGACATATTAAAAAATCTAAATAATGATGTTGATCAAGTAATAACATCTACACAAGATCAATTAATTGATGAAAATGATACAGATCTTATTCGTCGTCGTCGTTTAGAGCACTTAGCAAGTAAAATAACAACTTCACCGTCAACAAACTTACAAGATGATAAAAGCAATAACGATACTTAAGCAATGCTTTTTTTTTTCTTTCCATTTAATCAGTTATTAACGATTATAATTGCTCTTTTTCTTTTTTTCTGCATTAACATACATTCGAAACAGTGCTCTGTTTTTTTTTTCTTTTCTTTTTATATCATATAGAGTACTCTTTGATTGTATATATGCATATAAATGCAGGCGAGGTTGTCCTTAAATTATTTTTATTCTTTTTTTCGCATATCGTACTTGTTTTCTTATTGCTCCTAGTCAAACAAAAATTGACATTTTTTTTCCTTTTTATGTTCTTCAGTTCGGTTATCATAACTTATCTGTTATATATTTCAAAACAAGAAAAAGTTTATCTCATTTTGAAGAAAATAAACGAGGTTTTTTGGTTGTGATAAATATCGATTTGAGAAAAAAAAGAAATGAAATTTTGATTAATCGAATATTTTTTTTTGTAATGGATTGTATTTTACAAAAATAAAAACATTAGCAGGAAACAATGCAGGGATCACATTAAATTGATAATCGATTTCTATTGAGTATGGTTTAGATGAAAGGGACATAAAATGCTTAGCAACATAGTATTTGTTTTTTTTTTTGCTTTTTTTCATTCACGGTAACAGTTAGAACCAACTAGAGAAAAGATTTGAGTATTTTGAGATAATTTCCTGTCAGAAGCAATACCTGTCAAATTTCAATTGACAATTTTGAGTGAAAAGATGTCTGAGAAATAAAGACTCTTAAAATTAGTTTTCAGTATTTTATCAAAAATATTTTGCAAACAAGTTCATCTGGTACAAAACAAACATTGCTGTCTCAAGCTCGTCACAACATATCTTCAGCGAATTTCCTTCATTCTGCGAAACGGTCTGAAGTATAAACCAATAAATTCATGAAAGACAGTCTTTAGAGGAACTTGCTTGCAAAACATTTTTGATACAGTCCAAAAACACTAATTTTCTGCGTCTTGGCTTTACAGAGACTCATTTATCCGAGCTTGTTAATGGGAATTCAGCAAGTATCTCCACTGATAGGAAATTGTTTGAGATAATCAAATCTTTTCTATGATTTGTTCTAGTTGTTACCATTAAGAAAAGAAAGTCGAAAATAATTTTTTGCCTCCGCCTTAATTCTATTGTAAGTATGTTATGACCGATAAATTGTTGTTTACAAAAAGAAATTAGATAGACAAATTCTTTGCAGAATTCTTCAGAGGGATGCTACAAATACTTGAATAGGTTGTTTTTCGTAGCACAATACTATTTGAAGTATTTTTTATGTGAAGCAAAAACTACAAATTTGACATATTATTCATCTAAAATAACGGATCTCTGTGGGCGAAAACAAGTTAAAAAAGATAAATGATCAATCAGATAACATTGGTGTTCACGAAATGTTTTACAGATGAGAATAATCTAAGATGAAAAACTAAACAAATAATTTGTAATTTTTTAGTATTGAATAGAAGAAGTTTGTATTTGGAATTAAATGAATAGAGTTTCCTTTGAAATAAATTTAAAGAAAAATAAAATTCACTCATTATTCAGAGCAAAATTTCAATAGGATGGAAATAATCAGTTATTAAAAACAAATTATTATTTATTCTGCTGGCTCATTTTTGCAAGAACTGATGAAAACAACACATGTTTATCATTGAACATACTGTAGATAGCGAAGAAACATATAAAAAAAATAACATTTTTTATTCTTCAAATCAGTATCGAAACAAAATCCATTCAAATTATAGTATGATTAAGTTTATAATAAATATCGAGCTAAAACTTGTAACAAAATATAATTATGAATAATGTGACGAGTGATCTCTTGCAACTATAAGAAAATTTTTCTCTTCTTTGATTTGAGACATATGTTAATACAATAGAAGATGAGTGACATGCGTAGAAAAAACATTCGTCCAAATCATCAATAGCCTTAAAACATGGAATCATTAATATCAATATCAACAACATATTCTATCTTTATCAGAACAAGAGCGACTCATTATTATTATCATCAATGATCGATTAGATCGATAACCAGTCCATCAACGGCAACAATTATCTTCTATTTATGTTTACTACATGAATAATCAATTTAATCAAGAATAGAGGTGTGAGCCAATCAACGAAGCCACCGTTGTTATTGCCAAATTTAAAAAATAGGCAAAAGTTTTTGAAAATACTCAACATCCACGATTAGTTTTTAGAGATGTTCTCGTGTGCTTTCTAGTTATCATGTTCTCTACCATCATTTCTCTCTTTTTCATTTCAAAATTTCGTGAAACTAAAAAAAATTTAAAAACGGCACCGAAAATTTCCGGCCGCCGCCGACAAATGATCCTGATATCAACAACAGATTAAAAAATAGAAGAAAATAGTTGTTGTAATTGTTTATCCAAAAGTTCATATTTCATACATTTCGTTAGTTTTACAAGTCTAGCTTGCAATTATTCAGCCATCATTAAGTTCGTATGTTTTGTTTAAAACATGAATTTTTATATATGAAAAATTATATAATAAATTCAGCAAAGGAAAGTAATATCTTTTATTAATAATTAAAAAGTTTTGATTTGGATGATTTTTCATTTAGAAAAATATAATACAATATATTTTAAATAATCTAATATAATTTTAAATTTTCGATCTGTCTCGATCATCTTCAGAAAACGATATTATTTATATGCGGCTCGTCTGGCAATGTATCGAAAAACGTTACAATGACTTTAGCCGGTGCCGTCGCCGATTACTTCATTGACTTACATCTACAGGGTAGGAAATAATATTATTCCAGGGGGGTAGCACTATGATTTCAAATAGCATTAACAATGAATTTAATACCAAATGAAAGCTTGTGAAAAATGGGGTTTAGGAGTATGATTGGCCATTCATAGTATGAGAATGGGCTATAGAATTGCGGAAAGTTTCAAATTTTAGATACATAATTGGACATTTCCATGGATAGTCAACCACTAAAACATCAGAGATTTTCGCNTTCTTCTCCTTCTTCAATTGGCATTTGTTGAATATGCATTGACGGCTCAGCATTAAGACTCGATGCACATGACGTTTGTTGAGATTGTTGTTGTAATATATTTGAAAACATTTGTATATGGGCAAAATCATTTGTTAGCGACGTGACTTCGCAAAATTGAAATGCATATAGCTCTGGACAATGAGCTTATCTAGAGCTGATTTTTTATATCCTGTACTTATATTAAGTTGTTCTAGACACCTTGAAAGAAACAGTCTTATGGATTCTTGTTCGTCAGAGTTATGATTAAAAAACTAGCGTTAGCGACGTGACTCAAAAAAGGACATCAACTTCCACTACAAGCATTTCAGTTTGAAAAATCTGCGAATCGAAACAGTATTTTCAAAAACTAAATAGTAAATGTTGCAGACGACTCTTTAAGCTACAAAATATCTACTCAATGTTTTTCCTGAATATATTTAGATTTTTAACTAAATTGAGTTTATTCGGCGTTAGTGACGTGACGAATTCTTTAGCGACGTGACACAATACGACTGCGCAACAGAGAAGGTGCTCTTGTAGTTGATTGAAAAGTTCGAAATCGACTTCAAACATTACATATTATTATTCACAGCCCACAGATGACGATAAGACAAAATTTTTCCTTTTTGCACTGTTTAGGGTCTCTAGAAAACCGGTTTTTCGGAAGAAATTTTTTGGAGTCCAATCTTGCTGAAAATTTTACCATAGATGCAGCTCATGTCCTAGAGTCTATTCTGAAGTTTTCAGATTTTTTTCGCATTTGGTTCATGGGATGTTCACTAATTACTTTTTAATTAATTAATTTTAATTAATCACCATGTGAAAGACCAAGCTTTTTCACATAAGTCTATGCTAAAAGAATTTATCCAAAAAATTCACTCTTAGAAGAATTAAACTCAAATGAAACGTGTAAATGTCCCGTTTTGCCTGATTTAGCCGATATACATATATATTCTTAAAATAGAAAAATATTTTTTTATTTTATATAATAACTTTCTGATATTCTTTCATTTAGTACAAAATTATTATTAATCGATTGATTAAGAATATTTGACGATAGGTGGTTTGATATTTTTATTATAATCATTGTCGTACCATCTACCGCCATATGGTGTGGCTTGTGATGATGTTCGACGCATTACAGTTATATTACCTAATTCATAAATATGTTTCGAATTTTTTTCAGACGGTTTTACAACATAATTTATTTTAACAGTTGGAGCTTTTTCAAAACTATTGGCAGCAGCGGTATTAGAATATGAAACATTATTGAAAATACTTGGTTGTGGCACATACACTTGATCTGCTTGTGAAGATACTTTTGTTTGTATAAAAGAAGGAGAGAGAGGTTTTTCATTTGAAGTATTTTTAACAAAAACAGAAGATGATTGTTCTTTAGTTGATGTTGCTTGCTTAGTGCGATCGTCATATGGAAAAGAATTTTTGTTAGAGGAGGATGCATGTGTTTCACGTAGGTTCTATAATATATGATGTGATTAATGTTATTATAGTTATTGCAGATTAATAATTAATAATATGCAACTTACACTTTCTGATGGTGTTGGTGAATCATTGTCTCTCTCATCGTTTATTACGGAGTTTTTTCCCATAGATCTTCCTTTCATGAATTCTATAGAAGGCTGATAACCACGATAAACAGAACCTCGAACAGGTATTTTTTCATGTGCTGGTTTGACTGTAGTTCTTCGTTTTGTTTTTACTGCAGTCTTTGGATTTTTTTCTACTGTAGTCTTCGGGTTTTCTTCGACTGTAGTACTGCTTGTATTACCCATTTTTCAAAACAAAATGTTTGTCAAGAGAATGTGCGAATGAGAGAAGTTAACATCTGCACAATTTCAAAAAACACATTGTCAATATGGGATTAAAATATGTTGTCTTACAAACAATATTATTTCTCTCCACGTTTTTTTCTTCTTACAAAAAATACACAAATACTACAGATTTTATGAAATATATATCTATGATTAATTTTCTCCTCTATTACTGATATAATATATATACTTGATACATGATCATAGATAAAAAAAACAAATAAAACTATGTGATTATGAGATAATAAAGAATTCGAAAATCCAATAGTCCATATATTTGTATTGTCATACATCGAGTTTTAAAGAAAAAGAGAAATCTATACTTTTATTGTTTTCAAACAGTGGTGATCATGACCGTTTTTTGAATAATTTTTGAGAGGAACAACATAGAGATCTAGAATTTTCATCACTTAAGATCAAGAGAGAACATAATGGACCATATACGTACGGCGATATTTGATTGGTTAATAACTGATAATCAAGTGAGTTGTCGGTGAAGATTTTGAAAAAGAGATTTTGAAGCTATTTCCCATTAAATTTTGACTTGCAATGTGACAAATCGATAGGAAAAGAGTGTGGGTGCAAGGTAAATAGTGATGCTTGTTTCTAGTTTCAAAGCGGTTTGAGATAGTTTTTTAAAGATTTTATAAAATTTCAATTTTTATATTGTGGAGAGGAAGCTTTTAAAATAGTGTTCTCCGGTTGCTTTGAAACTGAAAACCGATATCCCCATTGAACTGAGCCTGATAATTACCTGTATCTTACATTGACTGAAAGAGAATAATTTTCCCTATCGACTGTTCATATTCCAATTCGAAACCTCATGAAAAATGGCTTTAGAATATCTTTCCCAAAATCTCGACAGAGAATTCATCTAACTAATGAGTTGTTGATCAATCAGATTTCGGCATACATAAATGACCCAGGGTATTCTTTGTTGAAAGATGAAAATCTCAGATCTCTGTATTATTCCTACCGAAAGTTATTCAAAAAAAAAAAAATCAGATCCATTGTTTTTTTTTTTGTAAACCACAATAGTGTATAAATTTTTTATTCATTTATTCAATGAAAAATTAATTGAACACATCCCATCAATTGATAGAGAAAAGAAGGAAAACGTTGATAAGAAAATAGAGAAGAGAAACATAAACAAGGTTAAAATCATGTGAACATCAATGAACATATTATGAATTTGCGTATTTTACGTTTTCGAATAATTCACTTGTTCTTTCGATTGTAATTTCAATATATATTTGATTAATAAACTATTATTTAGCAATAACACCACAAAGTAGATGAAAACTGTATTGTTAACAAAATTCTAACGATGTGATTATTAGAAATAAATTTGTTTCGATAGTCTCGAATTATTTATATTCGAAATTTTTCAAAGAACTGAAAAAAAAACATATTTGAGGAAAATTACTCGAGAAAATATACTTTTTACAATACAAATATAAGTTCCTTAAATAAAGAAAAACCTTCATTTGAACGTTTTTTTTTTGTCATAATGAATTTAATTGTCTTTTTTTAAAGATTATTCTTACAAAAACAAATTATTCTCAAAGAATTAAGTTCAAAATATTTTACAAATAAATTACATAAGCATATCTTTATCAATCTTATCATATTATTCTTTTAGAACCATGATAATGTTCTTTGCAGTATTATGTTGATGACTATTCATCTATATTGAATGTCTGTTGATGTGTCAACAATAATTGAAGATAAAGATTAATATTTCTTATTGACAAGAGAAGACGACGGTTGCTTGACTACAGCAAGTGATGTAGATTTTTTAATTGGAGAAGTTGAACGTTCATCAAGTGAATTAGAAGTGGAACTTTCTTCAAGCAAATCAGGAGTAGAAAGTCCATTAAGTGAGTTTGAACTCGAGTTTTTTCGAAGAAAAACAGGAGTGGAACGTTCATCCTTTGTAATCGAAAGTGGTTGTTGAATTGGATTCTCAAGCCTAAAAGATATAGAAGGAGTTGTTTGCGTTTCACGTTCACAACGTTGTGGACGATGATGATGATGGTGATGATGATGATGATGATGTCGACGTCGTGAATGATGATGAGGATGAGATGATGAAGAGTCTTCAGGTATATTCTAAAATACAAAAAAAAAAATTGTTACATTATTCTAGGCACTACAAAACCATCATAAGTTAAATAATTACAGTTTTACTTTGTGTTTGAATATAATTTCCATTGTATGGTACAGAATAATTATTAGCATATTGAGGATAACCAATGTTTCCAGGTCTATAAGTACCTGGATAGGAAGTTTGCTTCTTTAATATTGATTTAGGTACAGTGTTTGGATGATAGCCTATCGGTGTTTTGCTGTTTTCACTACCCATTATATTTTCATCAATGTCAACAAATGTGCAAAGAAGAAATTTCTTTGACAATGAAAATGATTTTCAAGAATCATTCACAAACAAAAAAATGGGATTAAAGAACATTTATTGATTCATAATTTTTATTTTCAAACAAAATATACAGATTCTACATGCTTTATTTACAAAATTCAAAAACATATACACATATTTATTTTCTACGATTTCTTGTAACCATCATTGATTTAGCACGTGTTTTTGTTTGATTTTTATTTACATTTAAACGTTTTTTTATAATTGTTTCATCATCGCTATCGTCATCGTGCTTAGGAGTTCGTCTCATAGATTTGGTACGAAGTCGAGTTGATGAGTATTTCGATTTATAATTATTATTATCATCATCAACATTTATCGCTGTCGTCGATAGAGTCATATTATTGAATCGATGAGAACCTAAGAAATATTAGTAATACAATACTAAAGAAATTCGTTTTTTGAAATTTTACGTGTTGAAAAACGAGTAGAATAATGTTTTGATCGATCGATGATAGGTAATGGTGATGGTTCACGAATAGGAACTTCTGAATAAATTAAAATTTTAGTGTGTTTTTAAAGATAAATAAGATTTATAAAAGTAAACCTTTTGTCTTTTTAACTCTTTTTTTTTTTGTATTAGTTTTTGCTGGAGATGGAACAGGTTTTTTCTTACGCAAAACAACGGTATTATCATTTCCATCATCAGCTATTGATTTTTTACGTTTTCGAGTTTGTCTTTGATTTGTATCGATTTGATTTTGTTTTTTTGTTATACGTCGTGTTAAATGAATTGGTTCTGTTTCAACTTTTGTTCGTTTAGTACGTGTTGGTCGTTTTGAATGAACCATTGGTTTCCTAGGAGAAAAGTTTTATTTTTAATGTAAAAATAAAAAACAATTATTTAATCAATTTTACTTTTGATCAGAATTTTCTACATGATGAGATTCATCTAAACATTGTTTTTGCATTATTATTGATGGATTTGAAGGAATAATCATTGGTATTTCATCAGATATTCTCGGTCGTAAATTTTCTCTATCTTCATCTTTACTAATATCTTCAGTTTTAACATTATCGAGTAAAAATGTTTGACCAAATCGACGAGATACAAGTTTTGGTTTTTCGATATCTATATAATAAAGTAATTTAGAATATTATGGGTTTTTTTGTGGAATTTATATTATGTAGGTTTTGCAACTCTCAGCATTACAATAAAGAACGGAAGATCAACGATCATTGAATAAGTTTCCGTATCAACCAAGGACAATAGGTATCATACTCTGTTCATAGCAGTGGGAAAAGGCGCTGAACAATATTAATCATACGTCTTGGACTGTTTCAGAACATTCTAAAGCTTTCCTCAAAATACGAATGGCTAAAATATGTTTATGAATGTTCTAACTAGTGCAGTTTTTGGACAAATAAAGATTTATAGTTAAGGTATCAAGAAAGATGGATAGTTGTTTTGATGAGCCACAATGGTCACATGATCAACTTAAAAAGTTTGAACTAAGTAAATTATAACTTTGACAAATAATTAATTTCACTTTAATAGTGCACTGAGATCTGCTTTAGATATAACGGGTATGTATAACAGGTTTATTTGCCACTTAAATCAATGGTTAGTTACTACAGCTGAATGGCTAAGTTGTTCAGCACATGCCCATAAGACATTTCGTGCAAACATTAGTAACAACAGCCACAAAATCACTCTCGACAAGTCACTAACAACTGTTTATCGCAAATAGAGTTCGGGATCATTCGTCCGATAGTATGTTAACTACGTTATAACACGCGCTTGTTCCAGTGGTTAATTAGTGTACGACAAGCTTAAGCTATTGATCATAAGAACTGTGTCAAGTTGATCCTCTGTTCGGAACTACAGCTATAGTCTGCTAGAGATCTTTCACTTAAAGTATTCTATATTGGTATAGCAAGACCAAAGAACATATTTGAGTTTCATATCTTAGCGCCATAGGAGTTGCACTAAAGGGACTTTTTATAATTTTTTTTATTACTTGTTTGATTCTGATCTATATTTGAGAGAACAGTTTGAATTGGTTCTGATTCTTCATGATCTTGAAGAAGTGTGGGTGAAAAGTATAATCGAGCTGGTGGTTTTGGTTGTGAATAACTTGGTGTTATTTCAACATTTATTGTTGGTATCGACTCAATTGGCATAACTTCATCATGATATGATTCATTTGGTACAACTTCATCATGATGCGATTCATTTGGTAGAATATCATCATGATGCGATTCAAGTGTTACAACTTCATCATGAAGTGATTCATTTGATTCAATAGTTTTTGATTCTTCAATTTTAATAACAAATGTTGTATCAATAACTCGAAGTGTTCGACGAGCTGAAGTTAACGGTAAGATAACGCTAAATCGTTCTTCTTTGCTTGGAATTAATTTTTCAGTTGATGTATAAAGATTAGGTCCGGTTGTTGAACGACGATTTGACTGTAATCGAGATTCTATAAAAAAATATAGAAGTAAAAAGAATAATAAATTTTTATTAACATACTTCGAATCATTTGTGTTAATAATGGTGTAACCGTTTTATTATTCTATAAAAGTTACGAAAAATGAATAATATCTATTCATTCGAAATGACTTACTAATAGTTTACATGTATGTTCTCCTTCTTCTTCATCTACTTCATTAATAGTATGAATATTTGCTAATGGAATTTCATGATCAATATTATTACGTGGGTGAATATCATCCGAAGTAATTAGATTTCTATATGAAATATAATTCTTTTTTTTTTACAAAGAAATTTTTCAATAAGTATTACAACATACTGATCTATAGCGGTATGAATTTCTTTCCAATGCTCATTTTCTTCACTAAGAATTTGTTGTATAGCATTACAATGCTCTTGTATAACAATACGAACATTTTCCATACGCTATTATTTAAATATATATTAGAAAAAATATATATATATATATAAAATAAAATATTACCTTATCGAAATAATCAGTCAATGATTCTGATGCTACATCAGTTAAATTATCAAGTACACGCATTTTTTTTTCATGATTTCCTAAATGTTCTTGACTTTCATTAATATTTTTTTCAATATCAAGTTTTTGAAGAAAAACTTCTCTAAGTTGTTTATTAAATTGTGCTAAATAAATGGAATTTTTTTATTTTATATATTTAAAAAAGTAATGATTGATCATTTCTTTTCTATGTTACCATTGATACTACTTTCGACTAATTTTCGAGCTTGTCGACATTTATTACGTGATGCTTCAAAATGTGCTCGATCCCAAGTTAATGGAATCTCGAATACAGTACGATTAATTGAAGTAAACATGGTAGGATCGTAAAAATAACAAAATTAATTCAATGTTAGTTAGTGTTTAAATTGTCAATAGACAAAAATCCTTTCTTTATAACAAAGGCATTGTTCGTTCGTTCGCGTCAATTATTAAGCATATTATCCAATGGATGACCATAGAGCCATAGATGTCAGATAGTGCAATGGTTAGCTTTCTTTTTGTTATACACTATCGAATAATCAATAAAAACTGCGAAAAAAAGCTTTTGAGTATATCTTAAGTAAATATTTTTTTAAAAATAATCTTTAAATTTTAGATAAATATTGGTATGAATGAATCAAAAATCTAAGAAGAACAATTTTTTTATTTACGACAAGATAATATAATGATATTTTTTATTCAAAGAATTATAATGGATGTGGCAACAGTGTTGCGACAGTTTTTCTTTTGCATGTAAGTCTGTTCAGAAACAAGATAAAATGTTGCTAGTTTTTTCTAAGGACACATGGTTTCAATGCTCTACTTCAATGACAAAACGAAATCGTTATAACTATTATAGAAATTTTAATAGATTGTTAACACTGAACAAGTGTATCATCGTGTTATTTTCCACAAGGAAGCATCAGAGAAGACCGAAAATTGTTGGACTTTGGTTTTGATAATTACTTTTTATTTATTTTGACAACAACGTAGTGCCCTGCAACCAAGTCGAGTTCGATTTTGAGATGATGCTCAGCATCCAACATGGTAATCAATGAGAGTTCGATGTTTCTAAATATTTTTACTTTTTCAAACCGTTATATATAAAAGGAGAGGAATGAAAATTGGTTTGATTATAATCGAGCAATTCGTTGTACTTGAGAGTAGGGCAAAGAAGTGGAAAGGCTGTGTATATTTATTCTTAGTTCTAGTCTTTTTCTCACCTACACCTACCTTGAAGACATGCTTTTGTTTCAATATTTTTCTAGTTTCGACATTTTTCCTTTGTGCCTACTTACGGCCAACTGGGTAGTTCTTGAAAGTGTGGGTGATTTGAAGACAAACACATTCATCCACAGAACATTTGTAGCGGATACTTCATAGAGCATTTAAAAATTAATTTAAGAAGTCATCAGGGTAGAAGTGCAAAAACCAAGAACAAGTAATAACTTAATAATATTTGAACAGCTCTCAACAACATTATACTACAGCGAGTCAAATCATGTCCTGTCTTTCAATTTGTATATCTTCATCCATTCATTATTTCAGTCATTATTATTATCATCGATCGTTGTTGTTAACTTCAAATAGTTCGATATTCATAAATATCATTCATATTTTTCACAGTTCTTTTCATCATGTTGTCAAGTAATGTTGAGTCATTGTTAGTTTTGACATAGTCTCACTGTGAACCTAAAGATGTATGTTTGATTATCATGACTGTCATACGACGACAGACTAGCAAAGTAGCTTATCGCCACTTTCAGTAATTATGTTTATTGAACTACTTCGTATCTTTAGAATGTATCTATTGCACATTCAACACAAGTCTATATAGGAGAGAGATGAATGCAGGAAAAAACAATAGAAAAAATGAGAAGGACAATGTAAAATCGAAATATATTTTTCTATCGAACAGCTCATGAATTTCTATCTTTCGAATACAATTTTTAAAATCGCTCGCAAGTACGTGAATATCTACAGATTATTTTATTATTTCTATTTAGGTTCTTATTTTCAAGATGATTCATTTTGAAAATTGTTTTCGTTACCGACATCTGTCGTTGGCTTGGCTTATGAGAATTAGTCATTACAATAAACCAATAAATATACTTTTGGGAAAATTTAACTTATTGCCTATGTACAAGTTGAATATTTCTTTATTTATGTGAGTTTTCTTTTAAACAAAGTATTTCGATTCATCAATAAATGGGCTTCTAGTTCATAAACTTATTTCAATGTTTGCTATTATCAGGTAAATAGATTTAATGTATATCATATTTCTCGATATCATTTATACAGGTGAAAAGGTATATATTTGATTGATATGCATTATTGTACGCTTATAATCATTTTGAAATAATTCCGATTGAAATCTAAAACAAAATATTTTCATAAACTTTGTTTACACAAGCAATATATCTATGTTTACACTTTGTTTTCATTAACAAAGAGCACAAATATAAAGGTTTTCGTTATCCAAAAGGAAGAACAAAAATATTATTTTTTCGTATTCTTTCTTTAATGAATAATATTAACTAATACTTATCGTCAATACCTGTAGTAACTTTTTTCTCTGACGTGCGAACAAGAAAATGAAAGGAAACACACACTAGAGATCGGGTGGGTTCGTATTTTTTTAAAAACTGAATCAAACGACTCAAAACTTGACTGATTTGTGTCTTTTTTTTGTACTAAGCTAATCCTATCTCTGATAGATGTCAGTTTATGTAACAAACATAAATAATAGACTATGTATAGATGACAGTACAACTATCATATATACATAAGTTTTCATTGAATAATACGTACTAATTATTAGAATCTGATATCAAAATGTAGGTTTCTTAAGCAATCTATAAAATAGAGCATATTTCAGAACTAGTAGGTGTCCAGTACGTTTTACTTATGCTTCATAGGAAACACTATTGTTCTATCATATATCGATTGTTAGTATTTTTGAGTGTTTGATGTACTATTCTAAAAAAAGCTCACTACTATTTTGTAAATCTTTTACAAACAAAAAAATGTAAAGATTGAAAATATTTTGAATGAAATGTAAAAAAATAAATAAACTTGTCTTATTTATTATTCATCGAATTTCTTCATTCATTGTCAGTGAACTGTATGTCAATCAATGTAAGAACAAAATGAATGCATCCGATTACAAATAAAATATTCAAGCAGTTATTTTGTTAAAGATATGGCATAGATCATAGACAGATTTTCTTGAAGAATATTAAGTATTTAAAATATTGAGTAGTTTTTTTTTCATGCGAACTCAAGTTATTAAGGGTACCATCCTTTCAAGGATTTCTGGAAAACAGTTCAACAGAAAAGTTAAAGTGCATAGATATTGATGAGTAGAGGAGACGTTGTCATAGACTTAAATTCACGGAAAGCTGTCTTCTATGAGATATTGAGATTACAATGGCGAAAAATGACCCCTATTTTCATTACTGTTTCTCCGAAGTGCTACATTCATGTGAACCGATAATTTGTTTTACAGGTAGTAGACATTGTTTGGAGCAAATATTTTTTTATTTTTTATTCTTAGCATATACGAACCAAAACATCGCATGTATCATAAAACAGCGTATGTGTTTTTGAAACAAAAGAAAAATATCTATCTCAAACAATGAAAAGTTTCAGCTCGATCACACGTGTCACGTTGAAGAGACCGAAGCCTTTCTATACTTTTTTTTTTTCATAAAAAACACCCTTTTTGAGAAAAACATGACATAATGTGCGGTTTTCGCTATTTTTCTTACATAAATTTGATTTTTCTCGAAATTTTCAATGTTTAACAAAAAGTTTTTGATCCCAAAATATACTCAGTAGATAGATATTGCTTGAAACTATACAATGGCAAAAAAAATTGAGTAAGAAAAGGAGGGAGGGATATCCTTGAATTACTTACCATAGTCTACTTTATTGCGAAATAAGTTTTTTTAACTATCCTAAGTCTGTTGTCGACATTAATTGAAGACAAACATGGCCTGACATTTGACGTTCTTTTGATTTATTTAACCCGCTTGATTTTTAGTAAATTTAAGATTTATCAAAACTATTGACAGATTCTAATGACATGCACATTTATTTTTCTTTTCAGAAAAAAAAAAGTTTAAAAATCTGAATTAAAAAAAGAATTGTGCGCGAAATTTTCATTATATTCATAATAGATTATTTGTCTATAGAAGAACAGTACAAAAAAGGCACTTTAATTAGAACTAAATTATCTTTGATGAATTCTTTAAAGATGTGTTATGTTCTAGTTGTATTGAAATGTCGTTGTTTTTTTTTTCAGTTTACTTCCTTATTTCACTTAGACAATGAATAATTTAAAACGGCCTCATCAATCAAAATCTGATGTGAATAATAATGACATTGTTTCGAGTACACCGAAACAAACTAAAAAAAATAAATTAATAGTAACTTCAAATGCAAACAGATCATATACAATAGGTCAAATAAAAGAACTTTGTATGCTTAATTTTATGTGTCAAAAAAATTTTTCTATTGAATTTCATCCAACTCCTATGCAAATTATTACTGGTGCTAATGGTTCAGGTAAAAAAAAACAATATATATTAATGATTTGTTATTTTTATTTTATTGAAAAGAAAAAAATATTGATATTTTTAAGGAAAATCAACAATAGCAAATGCAATATGTCTTTGTTTGGGTGCTCAAGCAAGAACAACAGGTCGATCATCAAATGTTCAATCGTTTATTCGAAATGGTGAAAGGTAAATAAAATCTTTTCTGTTTAATATTTTGCTTTTTTTTTTTTTGCAATATATATTTAGATTTGCAGAATTATCAATTACATTAGCAAATGAAGGACCGGAAGCATATAAACCTGAACTTTATGGAAAAGAAATTCAAATTATACGAAAAATTGGTCTTAAACAATCAGGTTATAAAATCTTAGGTAAAATTATATTTTCGTATACATTATATTGATAAAAATAATATTTTTTTATTTATCTATAGGAGATAATCATAAAGTAATTAGTACACGTAAAGAAATTATAGCTGAAATAAATCAAGCATTATCAATATCACCTGAAAATCCATTATGTGTTTTACATCAGGAAGTTGCTAAAACATTTTTATTACAAAGTGATGCTCAAAAGAAATATCAAGTGAGTTATTGAGAGAAATCGAAAATATGACATTTTATATTTGATAAGCAACGATGAATTGAATCAATTGTTTTTCGCTTTTTGAATCAACACAAAAGTTTTTAAATCCATTGAAATAAAAAAAAAAAAGAAAAGAAAACATGGTTCTTGATTGAAACAGTTTTTTTTTATAGTCCTCGGTATGTATTTGCTCTCTCTTCATAATAAAAGGTCATCTAAAGGAAAAGTTTCACAAGGTCTAATAGAAATCCAGCGTGTTTTGAGGGGGGGGGGGGCTTTAGCATCTAAAAACTCAGCTTCTAAGTAAAATATCGTTTGTTTTTATAAACTTAAATTATTATTTTTTGTAGACAAATATTAGCAAAAATCTAGCTTTGAATAGAAAATCATCTTGATCAGAAGTGATATGAATTTCCACAATGAAAAGCACTACGGCTCTTTATTCAAAGAGGCAGTCTCAGAAAACAAAAAAAAAGTGTAAATAAGTGAAATTTGGATTTTCCAAATAGAAATAACGAACTTGATACTATACAAAAGACAAAAAAGAATATGCACAAAGTAAGACTTCCATATGTCAGCACATTCTTATTCTAAACATCAAACGCTTATCTCTAAAACTATGGCCAAGGTCAATCACGTAGTATTTACATGTAGAACGAAAAAAACAATGACGTTATGTATATTACGTTGTGATAAATAATCATGAAATACGTAGTAAAAATAAATCGACTAACCTTTAGTATTAAAAAGAAAAAAAATGAAACAAGCAACTTTAGATAACAGTAACGTGCTTGATGTAACATCAAATCGTGTCAGAAAGAATTAATTTAGTTTTTAGTTTATTAAAGTTGAATTAATAATCTGTTGAAAAGCAGAAAAAAATCATATTGTTAATAAAAAACGATTACAAATGAATACTTTTGGCTGATTCTGATTGAGCGTACATTAGACAGCTTTTACTGTTGTAGTCAATAGAAAAATTTATAAACAAAAAAAACTTATTATTGCAGTCTCTTCGAGGCTGAAATGTAGAACTCACATGGATTCTTTAGCACTATTATACTAATACAAAACAAGTAACGTGAAAAATCTCTCGCAGACTATAGTTGTTTCCTAAAACAAGCGATTGATCAGTTGGGAACCTTCCCTTGTAAGCTCAAAATCACTGCTGCTATTGATTATTTTCTTTAATTATAACTTGATCAGTTTACGCTTTTTTATGCTGGTCATATGATGACTGCAGCAAATCAATGTACTAATACTTATCATCTGTAACATGTTGAATATAAATTTTTATCTGTGTAAAAATAAAAAAACTAAACACATGTATTCCAGTAATTCAAATTTCGAGAAAGACTTTGACATGTTCTCTGAACACTAATGAGGGAACATCTTCAGGTTTTTCTACCGATAACGACTAGATAGTGTTCTAGTAAAAACCTTAAAAGAATTTGGTTTCCTATTGTGATTTGACTAAGCTATGTCTATTTTCAAGAAGTCTCAGGTTTTTGGAAAAATCATCTTTTCGAATTTTAATCTGAAACTTTGTGTATATAGTGACCTTAACTAAACTAATTTATAAAAATGAATTCAAATGTATTTTTTGAAAGCTGCATATTTCGAAGAAACTTTGTTCAGAATTTCTGAATCTTTCTATGGAAACTAGTCTAGATGATTTCGCTATATGCCCAAAGTTTCTGATCAAGATTCGAAAATACGAATTTTCCGAAAAGTTGAAATTACTAGGAAAGAGATATATAAAAAAATTCGATGGTTTAGTCGAATCTCAATAGGAGTCCATATTGTTTTAAGGTTTTTATCAGAGCATTATAGATACTATAGGCAAAAGCATCATTGAAATTAAAATGGAAGCATCTGAAGAGGTTTCTTCGAAAGTTTTGTTGCTAATGCCGTTCACCACACTTTTCCGTCGTGGTGGTCCGAAGGTAGCGGATTGTTCATAGGTCTGCCTAAAAGAAAGGTTTCAATTGATTAAGTCCCTTTCTATAATTTTTATTATTCTCATTATGCAATAAATACCAATCAAGAATAAGAACTCAACTTCTTATAATAAATAATATTGTGTTTTTTTTTTTAATTTTCTAGTTCTATATGAAAGTATCTCAATTAGATCAAATAAAACAAGCTTATGAAGGAGCTGTATATACTGTTCAATCAATTTATCAACGTATAAATAATATGAAAGATGTAAAAATTTTATTGATTGAATTAAATTTGAATTTATAATCAAGACTTTTTCTAGAGACATATGGATATGCTTCGAGCAACGGAACCATTAGAACAAGAAGTCAAAAAAATTGATATTCGACGTGACCAAGAAAGAAAAAAACATGAATTAGAAATAGAACTTAATGTAGCTCGTAATATTGAAGCACAACAAGTAAAAAATTTAATGATATAAATCTTTAAAATAATTTTCTTTTTACTTCTAATTTAGGAATTAATTACTGTACAAAATGAATTAGATCAAACACAAAAAAGTAAAGATATGATCGAAGCAAAAATGACAGAAATAATGGTAATAAAAAATATTTCTTGTTATATTTTATTTAATAATATATATATATATATATATATGCTTCTTAGAATCAAATTCGTAATGCTGATCAACGAATAGAAAGTCTTTTAAGTGAAAGATCTGATATAGAAAAAGATTTACTTGGTCTAAATGGTTTACGTGAATTAAATTATCAGTTTTCAAAGGAGAAAAAAGAAATTGAACTCACGATTTATCGTCTTTCACGTGAATGTGAACAATATCATCAAACATTAAAAGAAATTGAACAAGAACAAAATAATTTACAAAAACAGATTGTAAGTTATTTTATTTTATAAGCAAAAAAAAATATTCGTACGAAAAGTTTTTTAGGCAAGATGTTTGTTCACTTTTGACTGGCTAGAAAGTCTTTTCAAACGAGTTTAAAGCTATGAAGTTGTGTTCTTGTTTGAATATGAGCTTAGAAACTTTGTTCGAGAGTAATGAAATAATCTTTGAAAAGTTCAAAAAAATTAGTTTAGACGGAAATTTTTTGTATTTTTACTATTGCGATTCGCAGCTAAAACTTGAGTTTCTCTATTTATAATTTTCGTATTTTCTAAATGCTCATTTTTTAAAAAATCGACAATTGTTTCACATTTACAGGAGCTCTTGAAAAAATCCTGGGATGTAAGCTACAGCTTGACTCAATAGCACATTTTGTAGAGAAGTATCCGCTCTACAAGACGATTGGCTTTGACAATTTTTAGCATGTTCAAAAAGGAATAGAAAGATGGGGAGCAAAACATTTTATCCGATTTACATGAAACAGAATGAGTGCTGCCTATATCAAAGAACATACAGTTGAAGAAGCATGTCAATATCTGTCTTTCATTTGTGGCTTCACTCACTTTGTTGAAAATGTTTCTCAAGCATGTAACGCTTAGCCAATGAAGACGAAAAAAAAACTTCCGATAGCTGCTAGTTTATCTAACGAGAGTTTTTGTATAATTTTTCTGTACTTATAACAAAGGAGTATTACTTCAAGTCATTTGCAATTTAGGACCCAACATTTTCTCAAGAAGATTTTCTAAGCCTGATTGACTGCGAAAATACTTCAATTAGCCGTCGAAGGCGATGAAAAATATTCCAAAATTTCGATGCACTGCATAAATCTATTAATCTGATAGAATGACAAACAAATTTTGAAGCCTACGATATCTGAATCAAGGGTTGGCTTCGTCGCGCTCATGAATATTTATTCTTATGAGAAAAGTCTTTCAACTGATTAATCGCTTTTGAGTACGAATAATATACATCATGAAGATTCTAATAATTTATGAATATCCTGAAAAAAGTTCGTACTGTTTGCTTATTGCTACCGAGCTACTGCATTCTTATACTATTTTTTTTAAATCAAAGCCATGGTCCTGACCTCTGGAAACATTGGAAGAACTAGTTTTCGAATTCTGACTTGAAATTTGGTACAGAAATCAGCATCAAAGAGATAGATGAGGGAATTTTATGTCTTGTGATTAGTTTCTATCTTGAAACAAGAACATCGAATCTACCAGTGTATATGAATTATGTAATAAAACATGCTTTTAGCATAGCCATATTTTAAGATAGAAATAAAGACAAGACTTAAACTTTTCGTAACAAACTATTCTATTGAAGACTGATTTCTTTGCAAAATTTCAAGTCGAAATTCGAAAATTTAGTTTTTCTGCTGTTCCAGAGAAGCGACAGGACCACTACTTTGACGTAAACAAATATCGTAAAAATTCACTATTTCATCAGCAATAAGCTAACAGCACGAACTCGCTATAGGATATTCATAACTCATTAGAGTTTACATAAAGCACCAAAAACTTTCAGAATTTATTGTTTCAAGATTTTTCTATAGATCTCCTTATACATTTTTTTATCAAACAGAAGGGATTAGATGTAGCACTGACCTATGAGTACTATAGTTCTCTTTCAGTACAGTGAGTATGTAAATATATGCTATCAATAGATAAATTCATTGTATTAAATAAATTTCCCGATAGCCTATATATTAAAATACAAACTTTTCTTATTCTAGGATGAATTTGAAAATCTACGTCAACAATCAAATCAGAATGAAGAAGAACGTCAAAAACTTCATCATGAAATTCAAGATTGTCAAAAAAAACAAAATGAATGGGATAAAATAATGACATCATTTACTGACGATATAAATATTAATAATGATAATATTCAAAATAAACAATCAACAATTGATTTTATACAAAATGAATTAAAACAAAGACAACATGATATTGATGAACTTAAAAAAATAGAAAAAGATAAGACAAATGTTTATGGTACATGGATATCAGATTGTTTAAAAGCAATTGAAAATGAAAATAGATTTCATAGAAAACCTATAGGACCTATAGGTCGTTATATACGTTGTATAGAACCACGTTGGTCATATGCTGTTGAAAAACATCTAGCTCCTATTATGTCGTCATTTATTTGTACAGATGTTCATGATGAAGGTATATTACTTGAATTATTTGCACATTATTCACGTGGTTATCGTCCAACAATATTTGTTATGAAATATCCTGAAAGAGTTCATGATATATCAGGAACACTAGACCGTGTAAGACGTGCTAATCTTTTATCGATTTATCAAGTTTTAAAAATCGATAATATACCTGTTGAATGTGTATTAATTGATTTTAAACAAATTGAAGCAACAATTTTACTTGAAGATTTACAACATGCTAAACGTATTCGACAAAGTGGAATATTACGTTGGGAAAGAATTGATAAAAAAGTAAAACAAGTTGTTGAAGCATGGACATATGATGGATCAAATGTTAAATTAGATAAAGCATTTAGAATTTATACAAATGACAAACAACCAGCACGTTATTTTACATCAAATAATACACAATCATTAACAATAAATGAATTAAATATAGAAATAACACGTTTAAATGAACAAATTAAACAAATGAATTTATCAATGCATGAATTAAAATCAATTCGACAAACAACAAAAGATAATTTAGATAAAATGAAACATATGAGTCACGAAAATCAGAAGATAATTAACGAATTAAATAAGGTAATTTATTGATTTTAAAGTTTTTCTAATGAAAATATGAAGATATATCATTAATAATAGATAACTATACTGTTTCAGAGAGCAAGAACTACCCTTGATTTCGTTCTAATCTTATCCATCATAATGATTCATGATTATATTTAATAGACTAGAGAATAATAAGAAAAATATAAAAACTATCAGCATCTATAACTTATAGGCTTTATATATCTATAATAGAAAAAAAATTAAGTTGTTTGCTTTTATCGATTTGCCGCATTAAATTGCTAATTGTAAATCTTAATAACTAAATACAAATGCTTTACGATGTGTAGTTATGAATTGCATGTTACTTGTTGTTCGTATTCAATATGTGTGTCTTGACAATTATTGTTGACACATCATTTGGTTTAGGCTGGTTTATGATATGAAGTCTACTCGACCTTTGATTATTCTAAAATGAATTCAGTACTTTTTTTTTTTTTTTACTATAAATACTACCTCCATCCTCATCCAATAAGGCTAAATTAGAGACTACCGAAGAGACATTGAAAAATGAAATTATTTTTTCTCATAATGTTCGCTTTCGCTTTTTTTCTTCATTGTTTCAATATACGATATTGAAAATTCAAGGAATTATTTGATATTTCGACTATTGTTTTTGACTATGAAGAGAGTTGTTAGAAATGAATCGATTTTAAACTGTATTTCTTTTAATGGGGCTCAGCGAATATCTAAGATTTTGATACATTATGTAATCACGTATTTCTTGAAAAGACTGCTGCTTTTTCAGTTGATGTACTTCGTCGATACACTAAAATCATTTATAATTAAAAGCATCAAATTCATGAGACACCTATTCATTTCCATACACCTTATTCAAATATAGAAAGTTTAAATGTTAGAATATTACTAATCTTGTAAAAAATAGTATACATCAAAAGTAACTTTGTTCATAAGAGTGTTATAGCTACTCATCAGAATTCTTGGGCATATTTTATTGAGGAAGTATTTCCCATGTTTCAATTACTTTTCATTTGAGACTATTGCCATTCGATCGATCATGATGAATGATAAAAGTGTATTTTTAGTTGATTTTTCAATCTTCGCTTGTTCAATAATGATCATAGAATTGCCGAGAAACTGAATGATCGAATTTCGAGCTAAACTTTTGTCAACATATAAACGTTATAGTCGGTATAAACAGCTCATATTTAGAGTTAGAACGAACTTATCCTTCCTAAGATATTTACATTTTAAAGAAACATCTGTTTTAGACTGTACTTCAAAAGCTGAATCTTTCTATCATTAGCTGATATCTTCATACGAATAGCTTTGTCCTAGTTCAAAATTCGATCATCCAGGTTCTTAGCAATCTATATACTCATAACTTAACCAGCAAAGACCAAAAATATCCAAACCAAACCAGATTTTTTTACTACTCTTCATAACTAATCGAATGACAATATTCTCAAGCGAAAAGCGAATGAACAATTGGAACTGTTCTCTCATTATTTCTTTAATAATCAAATATGAAGACAACTACTTTCTGTCCAATATAATACCTGTTGAACTCTAAAGCGACTTAGTAAATCCTCGATTCAAGATGTCGTATGCCATTTAGAGCTTTCCTTTATTATATCTTTCGGTTTCATCAGACAAGAAAATGTAAAGATAGCTTATCTCACAATAACTTTTTTGTTTTTTTGTTTAGCAACTTGAACGTTTGAATTCTACAATGCCAATTGCATACGCTTATTCATTAGATGAATTACAAGACAAATTAAAGGAATTTACTCTTGCATATAATACAGCAACTAAAAAATTTAATGACGCAAAAGAAAATAAAGACATTAGACATCAAGATCTTGCTGATGTTACACAAAAACATGAAAATATAGTTAAAAAAATCGAATCAAAAAATGATGAATATACGACTCTAACAGAAAAAATTAATGATGAACAATCAGAACGTCAACAAATTCAACAACAAATGCCAAAGCTAACAAAAAAATGTTCACAATTTAACGAAGATATTCAAAAATGTCAAGAAAAATTAAATGAATTAACTAAGAAAAAACCTAAAGTAAAATAACATAAGATATCATTTTACATCTACTAGCCATTTCAATATTTAATGTACTCCACTATTATTTGAGTAATTTTTGATAGGAACATTGTAGAGACATGTGGTTTTCACCATTCTAAATAGCATGCTCGGTGACCATGGAAATTTGGTCGATCAGTTACTGATCAATCAACTTCCGACGGCTCCTAAGTAAAACTCTTCCCCTGTCTTGAACGTTGACTACTGCAAACTTCTACGATATTCCTATCAGAAGTTATTCATTATATTTTAAAATTGATAGTATATCTCTGTTTCATTTATTAGAAATCAAAACCATCAAAGACAACTAATCGTTCGGTTCGTGAAATTCAACAAGAACTTGATGCAATAAATAATTTTCTTAAATCAAATGAAGATACGTTAGTAGAGTTTTCTTTTCTTGCTGGTTTTTTATAATTTTTACTTCTTTCGATATTAGTATTGAAAAACGTCGACAAGCTATTGATGAATTTAAAGCAAAACGAGATGCTGCACTAGCATTAAAAAAAGTTTATGAACAATGTTATCGACAAGTTCAAGTAAAATTTTCTTCTTTAACTATAGAAAAAAAAGAATCAACTAACATTTAATTTTTGTTTTGTTTTCAAGAATCTTGAAAAATTTGTTAATAAACGTAAAGAACGTTTTGGTCAAATAGCTGATCGACATCAATATTTACTTCGACATAAATTTAAAGATTTAATGGAAAAATATCGATTTGATGATTGTGATATTAAAATTGATCATAAAAAAGAACAACTTGAAATAATTGTAAATTAAAATAAACAGAAAAACAAAGAGAAATATCAATTTTTTTATTATTTTATTAGATTAAAAAAAATCAACGTAGTGTTGCTTCATTATCCGGTGGTGAACGATCAATATCAACATTTTGTTTTTTAATTGCTCTGTGGGGATCTATTTATCAACCATTTCGATTACTTGATGAAATTGATATTTATATGGTAAATATATTTTTTTTACTGTTTACACTGAAAATCAAAGTTTTCTGATATATCTGTTCTAGAGTCGATTGGGTTCAGACCCGACAGACTCTAGTCTATTCACCATGTCATCAGTTGAAAGAAAGAAACAATCAGACTTTTTCCTATAAAATAATCTGTTTTACAAGAATACGAGATGGAATGGAATTTTATCTGATTTATTAGAATGTACACATTATTTTTAACTTTCATTCAATCAGTTGAAGTCCATTTGGACTTCAGTAGAATTAGTATTAGTGTTAAGGAATGAGAATATTTCATCAAATCTTTGCTCTGCATATATGTCCTTGAGATAGTTAGTAGAGTACATTTGTGAATCTAAAACAGTTGCTTGTAAGGATGTGGATGAAGAGAAGATGTACAGTAGCATCCCCTCTCTCCTCACAGCCATTTCTCTCACACACACACACACACCTGAGAGCTTATGTCCTAGTGCGCAACTGTCCGGCTTCTACATGACTAGCATCAATTGATCAGATAGAATTGTTAGTTTCGTGTTCTAGTAACTTAATGTATATAGGAGTAATTGTTTAAAAAAAATGATTCATCTCTACCTAAGCAAGATTCATTTTTAAAACTATACATCTAGCATGTTGAATGAAAATTTGTTCATCTTGAGATGCTTTAGAAACACTAAGCGTAATATTATTTAACATCAAGAAGAAAAAGAGAAGAATTTGTCTCCATTGCATTCTGACATGTCTTTCAATTGTTTCTAAGCTATTTTAATTATATTAAAATCTATTATTGATTGTAAACTAGTTTGACTTTCTAATTTACTCGAGTTAGAATTGAAGACCATGAAGCATAATAAGATTTTATGTTATTATAAGTGAACAATCGTGAAAATGATGTAAAATTGATAGAAGATTTTAGTAGGATTATAATAATTAGGATATAATTGAATGTAGTCTTAAAATAGATTTTTCATTGAAGCATATCTAAGGAACTTGAAATATGGATCTTCGATTTTCTTTTACTTTTGAAAACAAACGATGATACGGTAATAAAACGTATAATAGATATATAAAAATCATATGCATTGTCTTTGTGTTGATATTAAGATCCCACTACGCGAGCGCGTCTCTATGATGGGCATCTTCTTATACTCGACAGTCTATAGTCCGCTCAAAAGAATTTTGCTAGAAATAAGACTCAAAAAATATGAATAGGGATGTGCGCCTTCAATAAACTGCTCACCAAAAACACTCATTGATGTTCACTGATTTACCTGAAATNAACAACCATTCACACTTCTGTGTGTAGACAAACTTTTCTCTTTCCCTTTTCTCCTATTTCTCCCTTTTTCTTTTTGTATCTAGTAATTTTTTTTTTTTTGATCTTCACCCTACACCAGTGAGGTAAGGGTATAATAAACTAAACTAAACTATTTACACAAGAGAAAAATATCACTCGTTTAGTTCTATTTCGATTTAATATTCAAGAGCGTCAACAACATAATCCAAATGAACAAAAGCTCTTTCAACTTCAGGTATATTTTCTAATTTATTTTTTAATTCGTCGCCAATATCATGTGCTTGTTTCAGGGACATTGTTTCAGATAAAATAACTTCAACTTCAACTAAAAATGATGTACCAAAATGAAATGCACGAACAGTATCAATTTTTTGTATGAATGGTGAATGTTGTAATGTAAGCCATGTAATTTTTTGTAAAAATTCAGGTGAAGCTTTATAACCACTTAAATTTCGTACTTGTTCACGAAGTTGTCCTAACCAACAAAATATTATATAAAGTGATATAAGAATAGCACCTATTGGATCAATGACAACAACTTCTTGGGCTTTTATTGAACCATCAAGAGCTTTAGAAGCTAAAAAATTTATAAATTAAAAATAAATTCTTATGAATATTCTATTTCTCTTACCAATAATGCCACATGCGAGTGCGACTATATTTGAAAAAACATCATTTCGATGATCTTGTGCAACAGCATACATTGTTGGATTTGCTATTTGATAACAAAGAAATGATAGAATCGTTTTACTAACTAAAACACAATCATACAATTATAAATAGATAAACATATTTATGCATACCAATTGTAACACACATGACCGTGATTGGTGCTGGTCCCATGGCAATGTAACGTAAAGCTGTTGACTTTTTTGTAAAATAATTCACATAATTTATTAATGATTGAATTGATTCATAAATAACTTGAACCGATGCTGAGACCATAATAACTGATAGAATTACAATGACAAGTGGTTCGAGACGAGTACGACCTGCGATATGTTAAGATTAATATCTTTATATTGAAATATATTCAAAATACTTACCTCCTGGATAAGTATAAGGATCACGGCGTTTTATTACATGAAGAACCCAATAAAGTAAACATGCTGAAGCTGAATCAACAGCAGAATCAATAACTGATGAAATGATTGAAAGAGAACGAGAATAGACAGCAGCTATTATTTTAGCTATTAACAATATCTATTTTATAAGAATTAATTTTTTTTATTAAACATTTAGTTTTCTTACTTACCACATTAAAAATTAATGTCGCTTTAATAAGCCAATCGGTTTGTCGTTTTTGTTTGTTTAAATGTTCATCTTCTTTTTTAGATCGAGATGATGTTTGTTCATTAAGTTCTTTAAGTGAATCAATAAGGGCATCTTGTTTTTTATAAAAATGTCGAACACGACTACTTAATTTTTCGTCTTCATCTCGTTTTCCTAAACAAAATATCAGTTTATGTTATGTTAGTTTAACTTACTAAGGAATTTCTTCAACTGCTCCTATCCGATTTCAATGACTTTTTGCCTGTAGATAGTACAATGTGCTAATAAAAACCCTAAAAGGATTTTTTAAAACTAAAATAACAAAATTTTAATTTGTCTATTGCCTAGAAACTTCAGATTTCTGGAAAACTCATATTTTCGAATTTCGATCTGAAACTTTAGGAATATAGTGAACTCAAATAGACTAGTTTTAATTAAAAATCCACAAGTTTTAAACAAAGTCTCTTCGGGATAAGATACTTTCAAGATATAAACCATTATCCATAGACAATGTATAAAGCATGCATTTTTTGAAAACTTCATATTTCGGAGAGACTTTGTTCAAAACTTGTGAATTTTTTTATGGAATTCAGTTTTGTTAATTTAACTATATGTACAAAGTTTCCGATCAGAATTCTAAAATATGATCTTTCGAAAATGTCGGATTCTAGAAGAACTTCTAGAAACTAGATATATGAAAAATTTTATAGCTTAGTCGAATTTCCATAGGAAACCAAAATCGTGTTAGTGTTCTTATTAAAATACTATGCAGTATCTATAGGCAAAAATCATTGACATTAGAAGAAAGCAGTTGAAGAGGTTCGCTTTTCAGCATACACTCACCGTGCCTTTTACTCATAAGAGATTTCAACGAATATGGTTTATAATCTAATAGGAAGAAAAAAGAAAAAAATTAGATATAAAAAAAAACAACAACAAAGTATTCATACTTCTATCATTATGCCGAAACTGAGAACCAATCGATGGCTGATGGTTATTAATAACACAAAGATCATTTGAATCACTATAACTTCGTTTGATAATAGCTACTGATGGTACAGTTGATTCAGATTGTTTCTGAATTGTAGTCGATCGATGTGAAAGTGGATCAGAAGCTGAAATTGATAGACCTATTGAACTAGTAGTTGACTGTTGTTGTGAATGTGTTCGTTCATATTTTCCATCACTGCGAATTTTTTCAGAACGGAAATAAACATTGTTTTCGTTAAATGATTTTATATTTAAATATTGATGACCAAGAGATGCTCCTTTCATTTAATTACTTTTCTAGACTGTAGATAGGGTTTTGAATTAGGGACTATCTATATTCGTGTATATTGTATAAAACCAAATTTGAAATGAATGTGTAGAAAAAAAAAGTAACGATATTCATCGAGGTTTTTTGTTGATAAATAAAGAATCAAAAGAAACAGAAATGATTAATTATGATTCAACGCTCGACTGAATCAAATAATCTAATGAAATTTAAGATACGATAAATATATATGACGATATTAATATACACTATTGCATCGTTGTAAGTAATTTTACACTTCAAGTGCGTTTTATTTTTGTTCCGCATTTCTAATTATATAAATGTTTGTACCTTGGTGAGAAATTATTTATTAGTAGAAATCTCAAGTCATAGAGTAGAATCTTATTTAACAAGTAAAAGATAATGTGATACACAAAAAACCAACATTTTGACAAATACATTCACGGACAAATGTAGCCACCCCACATGAAGTACTGCCATTTTTTATGATATTAAGCTGATATTCTGGGTACAGGTGTGCGATGATCAATGCTGATTGCTAGCACTAATCCGTCCTCCATCGGCTCATCTGCACTGAAATTATGATTGATACATCCGCTTTTCCTTCTGAAAAACCTAGTCAGCGAAAACATGCGTTCCAAAATTTTTATTTATCATTTTGTTATTCCACAAGCTACAATTGTTTTCTTTTCTAGCGCTGAAGACAATCTCATATGTCTACTTTATTATCACTAAAATCCTTGATACATAAACAAGATCTTAGTAATTAGCACGCTTTGAGATAGTAAATCCATATCGTTGCTTTAATTCAACCTCATTCAATGTTGTAGTTCTAAAACTTTCAGAATATCGTTGCCGTTTCATGAGAACTTTCTAAGTACATTTTCGAAGGAATAAGTTATATTCATTTTGGAAAAATTCCATCTTAATAAAAACTAGCATTTGCTCTTCAATAGACATTCTTAATAATAAGACAATAATTCAACAATTTCAAAAGTAATTTCTAACAAAATTCGGACTAGAGATAATCATGACAGTAGCCTTTCGAATGAGGGATTAGACGAAAATATTTGTATCAAATTAGTTCAGATAAGGTGATCACAAGAGAAAGATGATGTCTGGACAATAACTGCAGTATATATGAACCGATAGAGGGATGGTTGATGCTTCCGATCAAACGATTGATGAGCACTTTCAGTAATTTTATCTAGATGTCGTTTAAGCATGTGAATATAATATTCAAAATAAAAATCATTTAGTAAATTTTGTGTAAAAGTTTCACAAATGTTTATGTATTCTTTTGAATTTTTTCAAAAATTTCAATAAGTTCCAGTAATTAATGATTTAAATCTTCGTAGAAAATTTGAATCTGAATTAAACGTTCAAGACAATCTTCAATTAATTGTTTTAATTTAAAAAAGAAATTCTAATTCAATTGAATTTGGTGGTGAATAAACCATTACTCGACTACCACAACGATATCCAATTGATAACAAAAGAGCAGATAAAAGTGGTTGATCATAACCACGCATACCATTAATTCTAGTAAGTTCCGATTCCGATAAAATTACGAGAATAATTATTTGATCATTATCTTCATGGATATGATAATTTCTATAAATAATAAAAATAAACTCATAACAACTTGAAGTCATTAAAGGTTAACAACATACATTGCGGACATTTTCCTAAGATCATATGTTTAGAGAAGTACTTGAATATTTTTGCTAATTGCAACTGATAGTATTACTCAATAGTTCCTATATTTACCTATCCTATCAGTGTATTCTTTTCAGAATGCTTTCTTTGATACAAATACTACTATTATCACAATTTATCCTTCGTATTTATTTATCCCTCTATATCATTTGTTTTTTTTTATTTGCTGTTTTGATTTGTGTGTATACATTATTTGGTCGNCAACTTTCGACCTTGACGCACTACTTTTGTTTTGCTCTTTAAATATTACAGATCGATAGAACATGAAAAATTACGTATACTGACACAATTTGACATTGTTTGGAGTCTCTTTCATGGAATGGCTGAGGTCTAAAAATTGCATATAATATAAAAATACTCAAATTTGGGCCCCTAAATCTCAAAGTATTAGACAAAATCGATGTGTACAAGTAATTTTTTTTTCATTTTCTAATAAATCATATGTTTTTATGTATATAGCGTAAAAGTTCTCACAGATTTGAAGGATCAAATGAATGATAACGAGGCAAAAACTGAATTTTTAGTAATAACGGTCATCTCAAAATGTTAAGATTTTTTTACTAGGAATACATTTATGGGCTATCTAATGCTGATATTTCTAATCAGCACACTCGACTCTATCATTGAGTATATGTTTTATTTGAATCGAAAGAAAAAATGTTTTTTTGATATGCCTGGAGGGAAGCACAGATCCCAAAAATTCTTTTTTGAGCTATCCCAGAATTGACCTATAAAATATGATCAAGACCTATCCCTAATTCCATTGCGATAAAAATTTCTTGATTTTATTAGGGGCGAGAAAATGGCCTTATCCGCCCTCATCCTTTCTGAATAATCATTCGAATGAAGAAATTTGTGCGGAAAGAAATTGTGAGAATTTTAAAATTATTATAAATGTCCAAAAAGTAGGGACTTGAGGCAACCAAAAGGCTAGTTTTTTGAACACCTTGAACTGATAATTATAATTTTATTTTACTTAGACTATATCGGACAACGAAGCAAACAATTTTCCACAGATTCGAATAACTCGATGTTCGTTGCGACGTCTTTTACCTGAGATAAAGCAATCTCATTGGAGCTCATAAAGTTACTGTTTTTTGCCAGTTTTCCATACGAAAACCATTTGTCGACGTTTTTTCAAATAATTTTATCTGAGCTGGAAAAAATGTCGGAGTGGTCTTGGAGAAGTCTGTTTTTGTGGAAAATGTTTTAGTCTATTTCTCTATGCAGTCTATGAAAAAATGTATTGACGAGGTTTAGGTATCGACTAATTGGAACTTTGGTTCTGTGAAGTCCCTCAATTCGTAAATTTGATAATCGTGTATTTTCTTGTATTCTTGTTGAAAACCATTTTCTTTATCCGAATCACAGTTGGGTTTCTTTCTAACGCTTAGAAATAAAAGATGATAAAAAGAGTAATTACAAAGCAGGAAAAAAACCAGAAAGCGTTTCTTGGTTTCAAATTATTTCTTGAGCTTTTTCTTGATATTATGATGAGGAAGACTTACACTGAACTTTCATCGTTTAGAACCATTTAAATAGGTTAACATAAGTGTTTAACACATTCTTTTTTAATTGTATACTTGTTGTTTGTTTATATAGCTTTTAATAAATAACAGACTAAACGACTATAATAATACTGAGAGATACTTTGGATATCTAGATTTCAACTTGTAGGTTCAACTTGCGCTTCTATAGTTTCATTGCACATGAGCACAAAAGGAGTTAGTTTTTTTACTTAATGATCAACGATGACATGAAATGGAAATACAGATGCGAGTGATTATTTAAAAGCATTCTTGATAATGATCAACGTCATCAATGGAATCCAACTATTTAAATGTCGGATGTAACAAAGAAAAATTGAAAAATTCTATGACGACAACATTTTCAAACCAAATTTCATTGTTTTTAAAAACAGAGTTCATTGAAACTTGTTATATTTGAATCCAATTTAATTATTCTTTCTGACTAAGCGATGTACACCTGACGTCTTCTCAGAGTATCTGCTCATGTGTCTGAGCCTTGAGCTCAACCAACAATAAGACAAACATAAAATACGGCTTTGTATGATATAACAGAAGTTTTGACAGTTTAAATGGTGACAATAATTCAACTTCTTTCCTTAATACAAAAACATTTTGCCCCACTATGGCTAGAACTAGTAATCTAGTCATTTGAAATATCGTCGATTATTGTTATAGTCATTTGCCGAGTTTCCAAAATTACCTTAAGGGCTACTTAATCAATGAAGAATATATATACAGGGTGTTCCAAAAGTCCCAAAGGAAAGTTTTCGTAAATATCTCTTATACAATTTGAGCGACTTAATCGGTTTTTTTAATTAAACGATAGTATATTCTTTCAAGTTTTATTTCATAAGAAAACCGTTAACAGATACTATTTTGAACTGTCACTTTTGACTTCAATATCAAAATGTATCCGTTTTCAATTTTTCAAAAATGCGAGTACCCGAGATGATGAAAAGCTTTTGAGTCCATATGATGATTAGACACTTGTGAGGTGTTATTTTTCCTTTTGCTACACGACCACTCTACTACAACGACCTCCAAAAGGTTCACGCTTTTATGCAGTTTTGGCTGAGATATGAAATTTTCAGTGGGTTATGTCCATGATGACCTCCATTTTCAAAAGACAATTATAGTTTCGAATTTTGACCTGAAACTTTGCCCAAAGCGAGGTCTCACTCAGACTAGCTTCTGTGCCAAATTTTAGAACTTTTGGATGTAGTATTTTTGAGATATGTATTTTTCAAATTTTCCAAAAGTTACATGGACAAACACCTAAATTTTGAAAAATTTCATATCTCAGAAAAACTACATCAAAAACTTTTGAAATTTTATACCGAAGCTAGTCTGAGTGAGCCATCGATTTGGCCAACGCTTCAGGTCGCAATTGAGTATCTCAGGGAATTTCCTTCGAAAATGTTAGTTTAGAAATCGAAAGTGGGTACATTTGGATATTGAAATCAAAAGTGGCAGTTCAAAATAGTATCTGTTAACGGTTTTCTTATGAAATAAAACTTGAAAGAATATACTATCATTTAATTAAAAAAACCGATTAAGTCGCTCAAATTGTATAAGAGATATTTACGAAAACTTTCCTTTGAGACTTTTGGAACACCCTGTATATATATGATGTTATTGAATTATATCAATTCGGCGAAGCTCTTTGTTACGTATAATCCTAACACGAAAATAGAAAATGCAACTAATGAAGAAAGTCAAAACAAAAAAAATATCAGACTTATATTTTTCATAACTAACGGAAAACCCATATTGTCCTCAAAAGAGAATAATGATTATAAAACAACAGAAGAAAATCTTGATAGGGACCTTGCCTCACATTTTTCAAGAGATGAGTAAACACAATCTAAGAATATTGGTTGAAAATATTAAAACTGATTAAATCTAAAAAAGATCAATAATAGTCTAAAAACGCAGAGTTTTTCTGCTAAAAGCAGAGCAAATTGCATTCTCGATTTGGGAAGACTGTCAATCAGATAAAAACCACTAAAGAAAGTATGAAAATCTTTTATCTTGAGTTATACACAAATGTGTCGAATGTCAAAATGAGAAGCATAATATTCTCTATAATGATGATTTTCTTCTTTTTAAATTAATGACAGAATGATTTCTACAAAACAAAAGTAAAATTCAAAGGATTTCTCGTTAATAATGTAGTAAAGCTTCAAATACTAACAAGTTTTACGATGAAAATAAGATTGACCTACTTATATCAATCGGTAGCCAATATGAAACTGGAAAAAAAACAAGAGTAGAACAGTCAATTTCTATTTCTCATGTACTCTTTGACAAAACAATGATCGAAAGTTGCAATATAACTATCTTCGAAATGCTGACCAAATCTTCTATATAAATATTCATTTACTCAAAAGAGTACTCTTATACTTTTGAACAAACTACTTACTTGCGAAAGATAATTTTAATGATTATTTTCAACATTAATTTGAACTTCATTGGCCAATACGAGACAATATAATTGGTAAAAATGAATATATCGAACGTCATATATTATCACATTTTAAATCATATACAAATGATAATCTTTATGATAAAAATGATTCAAAAGAAATAATTAAAATAACTATAGCACGTTATTTTCCTAATCGATGACAATGAATAATAACTGATGCTTCATAATTTAGGAATAAAAAGGTAAAAAATCCAATCATAAGGCCGCTCACCCCCCCCCCCCCCTCAAAAAAGTCACTTTTCGTCAAAATCATCGAAATTGAGATCAAAGCATAGGAAGATAGTTCGTGATCTGATCTTTAAAAAAAATCTTTTTCGTCTTTTCTCATTTTATGATTTCTTGATGGCACCAGCGAGAATTCTCTGTGGAACCATATTGTACGTATTTAATTTGTTTTTGTTTAAAAGAGCATATCAAGTTGCAATGTCTACTAAAGTCATTTTTTAAAATAAGCTTTGTTTTTATTATATATACCAACGCTTACATAAATGGAGCGTCATTTTTAGAGCGGCTCTTGAGTCATTGACCATGTGACTCTTTTTCTGCTTGAAAAGTAGGAATTTTAAAAAAAGGCGCTCTGGTAGGCCTTACATCCTGACATGCTCTTTCAAACAAAAAAAACTTGAATATATACAATAAGTCTGGACAGAGAAATTTGGTTTGCCAAATGAGCTATTTTTGACCCTTATTTGGCTAATATCTCCCTCAAACGTCATGGCATAGGGCTGAAAACTTCATACCATTTGAACGTTCTTTGGCTGAGATTGATTTTTTGGGGCGGGGGGAAGCCTTAATCTTAAACGTGAACCGTATAAGCTACTTGATATTACTATTCTTAGTATACTTGAAGGTGAACATTTAACAGCAGGAGATTTTGATAATCAATTTAATAAAAGACAAGAAATTGAACATGAAAAAGAAAGAAAAAAGAACCAGATGATATTCGAATTTTTCTGGAACACAAAATGCGGTACGAAGCACGAATCTCGGTTTTCAAAAAAAGGGGATATCACATGAAAAGGAAAAAAAATCGTTTCCACGATTTATCATGAATCGCGTTTTTCCAAAAGACATTTACGTTTCACTGGAATAAGGGCATTTTTTTTTGTTGGCATTGTAAACCGAAAGAGCAATGTGTCTATGAATCAGCTGATCAAAGTCAGTTTGAAAGTGAAAAATAGCCATGGTACAATTCATCATTGCGATAATTCTACTAGTGTGTATCAACATGTTTCTAAACAATGCATGGATTGATTGTTTCTTTATCAATTGTCCGCTGTTTCATGGTTGTATTAACCATAAACAAGGGTGCTTGCAGCAACCTTTTTTCCATCTTCGTTATAATTATCTCGGAGCTTCAAAAACACTAAGTCTTCAAAACTTGCTCATTTGGAGACTATTTTTAAGGAAATGGGACGTGATGTAGCAGATGCAATAAAAGTGGTATTGGTGTTGGTTCGATCTTGATACTTTCGCTTAGCGTTTCAACGACTATTTTCTTCTTTTTCGCTCTCAAGACCATCATGACACAAAATATTCTCCTCCGCAATCATAGCAAGCAGTATTATACCATATAATGATCCTCTATAAAGTTTTGATGACAAAGAAAACAAATGTCAGCAACTGTTCATCAATAGACTATTATTAGTGCTAGGCATAATTAATCATTGCTAAGATCAGTGTGTGAGCACCGATTAAGGGAAACCACCTAAATAAGGAAATAGTATGAAATGAATCGAGATCACATAAGAATGGTAATGACGGACCAATCAGCTTCAGTTTTAGTAAAACATGGAAATTCCACACTTTACAGACACTCAATTGTATTGGTCCTCCATTACGACTCACTTATGGTCTCGATTCATTTCACGCTGTTTTCCTTAATTTGTTTGAAGCCTTTAAACGGTGCCAATATCAGTGTCAAGCATAGCTTCTTCATATCCACATAATGAAATCAAAATCATAGATCATTTATAATATCCAGATTTTACTTCGGACGAACGAAACATCATGTAGAAACTTGGATAAAAACTTTGAAATATAGAAACCTCAACGTCTCTAATGACGTTTCAACGAGCATCAGACGATGTGCCGTTCTCGAGATCATTTTGTCACAAAATATGGAGTTTAGATGCATAATTTGAGAAAGAAAACACATTTCGACTGATCGTTATAAAGTGCTTCGCATTTTAATTAATCGTGAAAGGAATGAGACAGAAAATCATCTTAATTAACTAAATGGAAATTGTAAACATAAAAAAAGCAACAAAAAGCACAATCCGGATTAACACTGATAATTTTGACAGTTAATCACATTCAAAAGTTATCTCATTTCTGTTACATATATTTTTTTATCATTGAAACCATTTCATTCTAAGTCATACGTCGAATGTTTTTTTTTCTATAAAGAATAAAATATAAAATGTGATCGATTCATTTTATCTTTATTATTTTAGTTCGTTTCGTTCGCCTAACACACTGTTACAATAAGGGCAATAATGGGTTATTTTTTTACATGGTGCCAACAACAAAGGTATCCAGCAAAAAAGGCAGGTGAAACAGCACATGAGAGCAACCAACACCCAAGTAATAGTGGTAATTTGTGCTTCTACGCGTGTTGTTACTGTAGCACCACATCGTGGACAAACAAGCGAAATTGGTTTACGTGGCCACTTATTTTGGTTGGGAGGGAGTGCTCCTGGACCTGTCGGATTCTTTGTTGATAAATCTAAAAAGAGAATCCTTCTATTCTCCAATGAAAACTATGTTAGATTTTTACTCTGATTGTTATTTACAGGTGGCAACTGTTGTTGTATAGGTACTGGATACGATGATGATTCAATAGTGATCGCATAAGAAGGTGGCATTTGTTGAAATGGTGTCTGATACATCGGTGATGATTGTTGAAATGGTGTCTGATACATCGGTGATGATTGTTGAGGAGCTGCCTGATACATTGGTTGTTGTTGTGGATTCATATTTATGTTATTAACAGATGGAATTTGTTCATATGCACCTGAATATATCGGTTGTGAATAGTAATGATTAGATGATGACTCATAAATGGAAGGTTGTGGAAAATTATTATTCATGGTTAGTTGAAATGCTTGTCACAATAAATACGAGCTATAAGCTGCTTCTACACGATAAAATAATTTGGACATACAAGGTGATGTGTTTTTTTTGTTTGTTTATTTGGCGTGATATTCATTCAACTGTAACGAAAAATAGTATCATGTGTTTTTTGCATTCACCTTGTACGCGTTAAAATTTTTCTTAAAAGAAGTTTGAAAGGGAATATGGTTTATGATCCGTAAATGAAATAATTAAAAAATCAGTCAATTTAATGTTTGATCAGTAAATTAATTAAACGGTCCGTTACTAATTAATTCAGTTTGTAAATATATTTAAAAATCAGTAAAAACAATTTATTAACAATCGATCACATTAAAAGTCAGCACAAAGATTGGAATAATTATAGGGTGAATCACTTTTGTTCTTTTTTCCCTTTCGATTCGGTTGTTCTATTTATTTTCTGGTGTTTTGGACCGATTTCTTTTAAGCGACATATTTTATGAATCAGAAGAATCATTATTTTAATTCTTATTGTAATTCATTGTCTAAAACAAAGGAAAAGAAGCTTCTCGACTTCTTCCCTGATTATTATCTTTATCTATTTCCGTGCATAAATATTTAGTATTTTTCAACTAAAGAAAACATATTCCGTATATTCAAAAGCTTTTGTATTTGTAACTAAAGAAGTGGTACAAATCGCTCAATATAAAAGTGATCTATGAGATAAAAAGGCGGTGAAAGCAGACGATAGAATAAATGAAAATGAAAGAACCCTCAAGAAAAATGAATTCAAATGTTGGATGAAAAAAGATGCATTTCATAATGCTGGTGAAGCAGAAGCATCAATTGGAAATCAATGGTCAAAATATTACACAAATTATACAGATGATTGGAGAAAATTTTATTATAGATGCAAGAAAGTCAAATGTCGTAGTTCTCAATGTTGTGCAAGTATTTATCTGCTATATCATGCAAATTGTGATAAAATAACCACTTATAAAACACAAGCTGAACACGAACATCATAATGTCAAAATTTATGGTATTAATGAAAATGTTAAAAAACACAAAAGGTTTATGTAATGAGGGTATAACGAAACAAAAACTAATTCTTCGAGCACTTTAATCAAGAAAAATAAATGTGCCAACATAAGCACAGCTACAGTATTATCTTATGTATATTATAAAAAAAAAGAAATTTGATGCACATAAAATAAGATTAGAGGAATTAGAACAATAGTGTGAAGATAATCAAAATATTTCAGTTGATGAAAACGAATCTTTCGTTGTATCATAGAAAATATTATATGATGATAAAGAATATGAAGATTTATAAAGAATAATGACTGAAAATAAATTTCATGTCTTTATATCATCTGTTCGTTTTCTCAACATCCCATCTATTGTCACAATATTTACGTGCTGATTCTACTTATAAATTAGTAAAGCAAGGTTGCCCAGTACTAGCTACTGGAACAACTGGTTTGAATAAAGTATTTCATCCATTTGGTTTAGCGATTTGTTCAAACGAAAAAACAAATATCTTCTATTTATCTTCAATAGCCTTCATATTGACATGCGACAAAAAACAATCAATAACGCTTTATTAAAACCAATACCATCGATACCAGATGCTACTGATTCAATCAAAAAGGGTTTTGAAATCTATTTAATAATTCATATAATCAAACAATGGGCTGAACTCATATGAAAAGGAAAGTTGAAAATCTTATATGTGAAGAAGACAACGAATATATTAGAAAAGCATTAATTGAAGATATTGAGGTGCTTCGTTATACAATTCTACACCTGTATTTAATTTGTTATTAACCTTATGCATGAAAAAATGTAAATGAATATGAAATAAAAATACTAATCAATATTAGATTTTTTTAAATTATTTTATGGTAAATGGCTAAAATAAAATACCGGCTGATACGAAGGTTTACAACTATTTGCATCAAGTACAAACAATGGCTTAGAGGCAACAAATAAAAAAGTCAAAGATAATGGAAAGTTTCCACAACGGCATGTTTTATCAAGATTTTTAACAATGCCTTCAACATTGTCAATAATTGGTCAACCGAACGATATTGATCCTCAGCTAATGCAAGAATACTTCCTACGGAACCAACAATATCTTTAGAATTCTGAACTTTACCATATCAATTGGCTAAATCAATAAAAGGTATCATTTGTTTTTTCAAATGAGTCTTCGAAAAAATATTCTATACCAACTCGTGATTTAAAATCGATTACAAAATCTGACTTAAATAGATATAGCACAAAAAATAAATAATGTTTAATCAATTCAAAAAAATCATCTGATATTTGGCATACGGAAATGGAAAATATCGAAATGCAATTGTTCAGTTCTTTTTAAGAATTATATATGCAAACACGTTGTGGGCATGACTATTCTCTTGAAATATTGTAAACTACTACCAACAGTAAAGACAGTGCCCAATTGATAAGAAAATAAAAAGAGGCAGAACAGCGAAGACTACACCTACTTTACTGCTAAAATAATTCGATTTTCATTTTCTTCGTTTTCTAATTATTCTTTAAATTTCGTGTTATTTATTTTGTGATAGTTAAAAATTTTTACATCTACTTCTATTCAACAAACCGACTACTTTACAATTAATTACTGATAATGTTAGTTCTGACCGTTCAACATTTACACTGACCATTCCATCTATTTGACTCACTACTTCAATGGCAGCAAATTTGAAACAGTTAACTTAGTTATTGTCTCGCCTATAGAATATAGTTTCCAGCTTATCCGGCTTCCGAAAAAAAAATTCCGACGCCGGGAATCGAACCCGGGCCTCCTGCGTGAAAGGCAGAAATCCTAACCACTAGACCACGTCGGACTGTTATTAAGATGTTGATATATTAATTAATTTTTTTAGCTATTCCTTGATAAGTAGCAGAAAAATTCGGCTATGATTATTGTCGGCGCCAGAATTACGTAGGCGCGTGTGACGGACGTCTCCACAACAGCAATACCTAGTGATCTGGGTCTTTCACCAATTGAAAGTAGTAGAATGGCAACTTGCTTTATACAATACTGTACAGAGTGTACTCGCTGTCAAATCAATGAGTTTGGGAAATGTTTCAGAAAAATGCATAATAATCAATATAATCCGAATGAAATTTTCATATTGACATGCATTTTAGATAGAGGGGCTCCAGATTTATGATTCAAGATATAAGTAACCATTAAAGACTTGAAAAGAAAAAGAGAGCAGAATAGCTAATCTCTATTTTGTTCAAGATACTATTTTCTAACACAAAAGAAAAGAAATAGAATTGTATATAAACATTTTTTTTCTTTTCTTTTTTCTTTCTATAGTAACGTTGACTAATACTTTAATGTGAGAACAAAATACCTTTTCCTCTTCTATTGCAGTGTCAGTCAACACTACTATAGGAAGAAAGCAGAAAAGAGAAAAAAATGCGGATATACCCAGGATGAGCATTACGACAGTCGTAAACGATCGTATACGGCCGTATTTGGCCGTATTACTTGACGCCAGAATTACGACCGTATATCGTCGTGTCGTATACGACGAAATACGACATATATACGACCACCGTAAACGATCGTGCGCGGTGGTATACAACGTCGTTTCTCACATTATTCCACATAAATTTGTCCTATTTCCCCCTCCTCATTCTCCAAATAATATAAAGACTAATATTTGGGATGCCCAGTCTGATTGGGCATCCCAATTTATCTCAGTTAATACTTACTGTTTCATTTATCCTTATAATAAATCTAAAAATAAAAAAAAATTTATTAATTTAAATTGATACTTATCCTTCGATTTATCGATGCGGATAATCTAAAAATAAAAATAAAAAATTATTTTAATAAATTCTAACTTACTGTTCGATGTAACGTTATAATAAATCTAAAAATAAGAAGAAAAAGTTATTTAAATAAATTTTAATTTTCTGTTCTATTTATTGTTATAAGAAATCTAAAAACAAAAAGAAAAAATTATTTAAATAAATTCTAATTTACTGTTCGATGTATCGTTGTTAAAAACTAAAATTTATTTAAATATATTAGTACTTGCTTTTCTTTTTGCTATTGATATAAATTTAAATAAAAAAGAAAAAACTTGTTTAGTTTAAAATAACATTTACTGTGCGTTGTGCCATCGAGAGGGATCGTATATAAAAAAATTGTTTCTTATAACAAAGCATATTTACTGTTCATTGTACGATTGTAACAGATATAAATACTAAACAAATTATTTTGTACAAAGAAAGTTATTTAGCGTTGAATACGACAAATATACGATCGTATACGAACGCCGTTTACGATGGTCGGATTGAACGGTCGTTTACGACTATCGTATTGTATCGTATACGAGTGACGTATACAGACGTCGTATACGATCATCGTAATCCATCGTATTTTTTTTTATACGGTCGTTTACGATTGTGCTTTTTCAATCTGGGTACATTTCTAACTTTTTTATTTTGTGTGTGCAAATAATACGTTGAACACTTCGAAAGCTTACGCCTTCTTTTTGAATAAAATTAAAAAAATGATGAACGTACTCGTATTATTTATTAGCATCATCATTTATTAAATATATTTCGTCTAACAATATAAATCTAATCTCTATTTCTCATGTACTCTCTATGACAAAAGAATGATTGAAAACTGTAACATAACTAGCTTCAAAAATATTGACCAAATCTTCTATATAAATATTCATTCACTCAAAAGAGTACTCTTAAAACTTTTGAACAAACCACTTACTTTTGAAAGATAATATTAACGATTATTTTCAACACGAATTTGAACTTCATTGGACAATACGAGACAATATAATTGGTAAAGGTGAATATATCGAACGTCATATATTATCACATTTTAAATCATATACAAATGATAATCTTATGATAAAAATGATTCAAAAGAAATAATTAAAATAACTATAGCACGTTATTTTCCTAATCGAGGACAATGGATAAGAATTGATCATTCATTAATAACAAATAAAAAAGTGGAAACATCAGATTTTAATCTTAAACTTGAACTATGTAAACTACTTGATTTTACTGCTCTTAGTATACCCGAAGGTGAACACTTAATAGCAGAAGATGTCGATGCTCCATTTGATAAAATAACGAGACAAGAAATTTGAACTAAAAAGGATCGTAGTCAGGAAAATGGAAATAGTAGGCATTGAGAATTAGTGCAAAATACTACGCGGATGAACGTTGACGATTTTAATAGCTAGTCTCATTCAAAAGTTATCGCATTACTGTTATATATATATATATATATGTACATTTTTTTCTTTAGCAATTAAAACTATTGATGCTAGAGGGCGCATCGAATGTTTATTTTTATAAAAAATAAAATGTGATCGATTAATTTTATCTTTATTATCATAGCTCTTTTCGTTCACCTAGAGCATTATTACAATAAGGGCAATAATGAGTTATTTTTTTACATGATACCATAACCAATGGTATCCAGAAAAAAATACAGATGAAAAAACATAAGATCACAACAAGCATCATAGTAATCATTGTAATTTCTGCTTCTACGCGTGTTGTTACTGTAGCACCACATCGTGGACAAACAAGCGAAACTGATTTACGCGGCCATTTATTTTTTTCGAAAGGGGGTGTTCCCGGATCTGTTGGGTTCTTTGTTGGTAAATCTAAAAAGAGAATTCTTATATTCTCGTATGAAAACAATGTTAGATTTTTACTCTGATTGTTATTTAAAGATGGCGGCTGATGTTGTATAGGTACCGCATATGGTGATGATACAATAACGGTCGCATAAGAAGGAGGTTGTTGGAATGATGTTTGATATATTGGTGTTGATTGGGCAGGTGCTGTCTGGTACATTGGTGTTGATTGTGCAGGATCTGTTTGGTATATTGGTTCTGGTTGTGAAGGATTTCTCTGATATATTGATTGCGATTGGGAGTTCATATTCAAGTTGTTAACAGATTGAATTTGTTCATATGCACCTGAATATATTGGTTGCGTATAGTAATGATTAGATGGCGGCGCATAAACGGAAGATTGTTGGAAATTATTATTCATGGTTACTTGAGATACTTGTCACAATAAATACGAGCTATAAGCTGCTTCTACACGATAAAACGATCGTGACATACAGGGTTACTTTTTTTTTTTTTGTTTATTTGACGTGACAGTCATTCAACTGTAACGAACAATACTATCATATGTTTTTTTGCATTCACCTTGTGTGCAGTAAAATTTTTCTGGAAAGAAATTTGAAATAGTTATCTTAGTTATTGTGTTCTACAGGGTATAATTTCAGACTTATTCGATTTCAAAAAAAAATTATTCCGACGCCGGGAATCGAACCCGGGCCTCCTGCGTGAAAGGCAGAAATCCTAACCACTAGACCACGTCGGACTCTTATTAATATCTTAATGTAAGAATTATCTTTCTTGGCTATTCTTCGAAAGTGGCACAAAAATACAGTTGTGATCAGTTTCAGAAAAAAGATTCAGATATTACAAGTCAAATCTGGGCATTCTGTGTATAAGGTAGAATAGTACACTGCGTCTTGTCGATAGTATTGTAGTTAAGAACTGATAAGAATAAGAATTGTCCTTCATTTATAATCGATTAGACCTACTCCGATTATCAAAAATGGTTGTAGCAGTATTAAAAAGCATAATTTATGGAAGATTTCGAATGAAATATACCATTTATGATTTTAAATCGTTGTCTGGTAACCAGTTTGCCATAATTTCTGTTTCGATATCAGTGGTTTCGAATATGCAGTGAATGATAATAATTTCGATTCACTGCGCTGACCTTTGGACACGTTGATGCATATGTATGATATTTCATCTTCATTCGTTGATGTTCAGGAAGACTGCTAGTAACATAAAAATTATTAAAGAAAATATGAAAAGATTTTTATCTTGAGATATACACAGATATCTCTAATGTAAAGAAAATAGGCATAAAGTTCTGGATTGATGATGAATTTCTTCTTTTTTATGTCAGAATAATTTCTACAGCGAGAAAGTAACTTTCAAAGAATTTTTTACTAATCATGTAGTAAAGTTTCAAATATCAACAAGTCTCACGATGAAAATAAGATTGACATACATATATCAATTGGTAGCCATTATAAAACTGAAAAGAAAAAAAAGAGAGTAGAACAGTGAATCTCTATTCATCATCTACTGCCTATGACAATAGACTGATCAACAATTTCAAAACATCTACCTTCGAAATAAGGACCAAATCTTCTATGTAAATATTCATTTATTCAAAAGAGTATCATATTAAAGCTTCTAAACAAAACGCTCACTTTTGTCTTGTTGAGAACTATGTTATGGTCTAATCGGTTTCTGTCATTAGTCAATCAAGCGAGAATACTCAAGAAAATAACAACATAACTTTGATATATTATTCATTCATGTAAAATATTTACTAATTCAAGGAAATGTCTTGATTTTACTACGAATATTCCAAATGAAAAATTCATCTTTTATTACTTCAAGATTACTTGCACAAGAATTCGTTTTTGTGAGTGGAGATAAAAGTGAAATTATTCGATCTATATATTGTACAATAAAAAAATATAGCATAAGTGGTACTCAATTAAATACCGAAAATCAAAAAAAAGTTTTTTTTATCATAATCGAACTTATTCATAGTGTACTTAAACGAGATGTTCGTCCATCGAAAAGTGATTGAACACCAATCAGTATCGTTTCCACAAGAGTTTCTATCGATATGAAAAAGTTTGATTACTTGTTTATATATTCACAATCACTTGAAGAAATCCTAGTCGATTGACATCATGATGAAAGTTTCTAAAACGGTATTATTCATTTTTGTAGACAAAAATCATATTAATAATCATAGATGAATTAAGGAAAAATAGGATCAACCATCATATGATGATTTACTCGAGACTGCTAAGTGTTTCATGTAAGATAAACTTTCGAGAACACCAGATGTTAAAATTATAATCGAAGTGTTTGTTTTTTTTGTTCGTCATTTTCACCAATAACGTGAATCACTTTATTTTGCATCAAAGAATACTCATCTATTTTTTTTATCTATCGAGGACAAGAAATATTAGATGGTGACTTTTGAAAAAATCAAGAAAAATCAATGATGTTTACTTTCATTCAATAATTTCTGATCAATTAGCATTTAACTTGCTCAGCATATGCAGAAAGCGAGTCACAGAATAAAATGATGACATCGATTTGGTACATTAATGATTAGACTGAGTGAATTTAATAAAGTAGAACAATCTTGTAAAACATTATTAAAACTAAATCTCGAATAATGATTGTCAACAACTTGCTTTTATATGTCGAAGCATTGAAGATTTATGGATGTGTACATGAAATTCGTCTGAAATATCTTGTATGTTGCCATCGATCATTAGTTATTACTATGCATGCCAAAATAGATGACGAGTGGCGGTAACTTGAATAACTCGCGAACACAAGGGGATATTAGGAAACAGTTCTCATCAACTTGCAGTAAAGTCTAGGGTACATCGAGCTATAGCAGAAAAGTTTATAGAAGGTTTTCAAATGAATCTGTAGTAAACTACCACAGTATTTAGAGGTTTCATATTGAACTTGTTTTGAGTATTAACACATATATTCAATTGAGAACATTATATGCTTTTGACCTACGTAAGTCCGAGATTTCTCGTTTGTAATGTTCGATATTTATAAAGGCTTTCTAGAGACTCCAGAGTTCAGCTAGATGGTTCTGGACTACGCAAAAACTAGGTCAAGAGAGAAATAATTGACCATACCGTGTTGAATAGTAATGTTTGTTTTTGGTTTCAAACGATATACAATTATTGTATTCGGACTTTCGAAATTCCAAATTTTCCAACTAGGCAGCGCAAAGTGAAAAAAGTGACTCCTTAGGCATTACAATAGCATGGAGTCATTAGAATAAAAAAACCACTTGGAATCACCTATTTTTAGGGATGTGCAGTTTCACTATACTGACCACCGATAAAATCACACTGGCGTTCACCGGTACGCTGACGACACTGACACTGACCGCACTGTCTGCAGTAACACACTGACACTGAGTGCACTGACTGCAGTGTCTACACCGACATTAATATTCACTGAACCAGTGCATACACTGACACTGACTGCACCGGTGTCAAAGTTCAACGGACCAGCGATGCTCACTGAAGTATCAAGTCACCGACTCTATCAGAGTATGCACTGCTCATGACTTTATTTATGACTATCAATGAAATTAGCGAAATGGCCATACCTTTTCCTCTAGAAAATAGGATTCATTTAAGTAATCTATAATTTTGAATAATAAAGTCAATTTCAACGAAATACGCCACTTATAGTCCTAATATTGACACATAACTACGGGATTTTATTACTCAACCAGCTTCATTTAAAGAAGATGAGCGTTTCTTAAAATTTATGTGGACTTTGTAAAACTATTTGTATCGTTACGATTACATCAATTTTTCGCTTTATTTACTCTTAGTGATGTTGTGCAACCCGAATATACTGAAAAAACGCTTCCATTTGATGAAATTTTTTTGTTAATCCACATATTACAAGCGGAATATGTCGTCGTCTTCTGTGTATAAATTCTAGTCACTGGAAATCAGTATCAGTACGTCAGTGTTCCAGTATGCGTCAGTGCAACAAATGCAGCCAGTGTCAGTATATGCACTGGCCCAGTGAACACAAATGTCGGTGCACACACTGTAGACAGGTCGCTCAGTGTCAGTGTATCACTGTAGACAGTTCGCTCAGTGTCAGTGTGTCACTGCAGTCAGTGCGCTCAATGTCAGTGTGTCACTGTCAGTAATTCACTGTTTTCACCGAAACTGCACATCCCTACCTATTTTACCTTCAGTCATGTCTTGAACATATTTCAAATCAGTCTTTGTTTTCATTCAAGTGATACAGAAGGTCGTTCTTTGTAATCATAATAGTCAATATTGAGGCAAAGAAATTACTGTTAAGCTACCAATTACTCAATGATGAGTAACGGAGAATTTGTAAATTTATCAAGGAAAGAACATTTTTCAAAATAAAAGATACCTTATAAAATCCCATCAAACGTTGTCGCGGTCGAGGAATTTGAATCTGTAATCGACTTGAAATTGTAGACTTAATATCTCGGAGCGGCAAAGGTTATTTGAGGACACTTGACCACGAAATCAAGTACACAGTTCTGAGAATCCTATTACCGATTTGAAGTTTCCAACCCGAAAAACTTTTGATCAAACTTTATGAAAAATCGTAACCGTCTCCCAGCAGCCTTTTCTTCATGAAAGTATCAAACCCACGAATCTTTCGTTACCTGTTACTTGCTAACGCAACGATGGCTTCACTCCTCTATTCCGGATGACTAAAATCATTTTAGAATCACTTGGAATCAACAGAATCAAGGAATCAGCTTTTACTACATTGAGACAACATCACCAGCCAAAATTCTGAAAACTTGAACACCATAATTGTATATTGTTTGCAACTAAATACAAACACCACTACTCAATTCAGTATGTCTGGCAGACCCTGTCTTGACCTAGTTTTCGTGTAACCCGCAGTTACGGATCTCAGAAAAATCTGTATAAATCTTTAACAGTACAAGCTAGAAATATCGGATTTATGTAGTTCAAAAGAGAACAATTTTCTCTATCTAATATATTTTTTAAAGCTTAAAAACGTGCAACGTTGGATCTCTAAAAGGCATCATAATTTTCTAAAAATCTAATGGAAAACCTTTTTTCGCAATATCTATTCGTATTCGTGAGTTATTTAAGTTACTCTGACACGAATCTTATTTTGATATACATAGTAGTAATAATACTATTACTGCAATATATTATAAAATTGAAGATAAATCAATTGTATTTTTATATTATAAAAAATTATTTAACATTGATTAAAGATCTTCTCCATCTAATTATCCGTTATTATTAAAATACTCATTAAAATATCGTAAGCTTTACAAAACCTTTATCGATATAGCGAAACTATTGAAAATACTGAATCATCTGTTAATTTTTTTGTCATACATTTTATGTTAATCATTCATAACAACAAATGCATCAAAATTATCTGAATCACTTACAACAAAGACTTCATTTTCTTAACACACATCATTTACAAAACAAAAAAAATAAATAAAACGTGTTTAGTCTTTTTTGATGTAATATTCAAGAGCTTCAACAACATAATCCAAATGAACAAAAGCTCTTTCAACTTCAGGTATACTTTGCAATTTATCTTTTAATTCATCACCAATATGGTGTGCTTCTTTAAAAGTGGCATTGTTTCAGGCAAAATAACTTCAACTTCAACTAAAAATGATGTACCGAAATGAAATGCACAACCAGCATCAGTTTTTTGTATTAATGGTGAATGCTGTAATGTAAGTCATGTGGCTTTTTGTCAAAATTCAGGTTTAACTTTATAAGCACTTAAATTTCGTACTTCTTCACGGAGTTCTCCTAGCCAACAAAATATTATATGAAGTGATATAAGAATAGTACCGACTGGATCAATGACAACAATTTCTTGTACTTTAATTAAGCCATCAAGAGCTTTGGAAGCTAAACAATTTTTAAATTAAAAATTCATATTATAAATATAGTGTCTCTCTTGCCAACAATGTCACATGCAAGTACAACTATATTTGAAAAAACATCATTTCGATGATTTTGTGCAACAGCATACATTGATGGATTTGCTATTTGATAACAAAGAAATGACAGAACCGCTCTACAAACCAAAACATAATCAAACAATCGTAAACAGATAAACTGATTTATACATACTGATTGTAACACACATGACAGTGATAGGTGCTGGTTCCATATCAATGCGACGTAAATCTGTTGCATTCTTTGTAAAATGATCTGCATAACTTATTAATGATTGAACTGATTCATAAATAATTTGAACTGGTGCTGAAACCATAACAACTGATAGAATTACAATGATAAATGCTTCGAGATGAGTACGACCTGCGATATGTTAATATTAATTTCTTTATATGAAACATGTTGAAATGTTTATCTTCTGGATAAGTGTAAGGATTACAACGTTTTATTACACGAACAACTCTATAAAGTAAACATGCTGAAGCTGAATCAACAGCAGCACCAATTATTGATGAAGTGATTGAAAGAGAACGAGAATAGACAGCAGCTATTATTTTAGTAATGAGCAATGTCTATAAATAAGAATCACAATATGTATTTAATGTTTAGTTTTCTTACTCGCCACATTGCATACTAATGTTGCTTTAATAAGCCATTCAGTATGTCGTCTTTGCTTGTTTAAATGCTTATCTTCTTTTCGAGACTCCACCGATATTTGTTCATCAAGTATTTTAAATGAATCAATAAGAGCGTCTTATTTTTTTTATAAAAATGCCGAACACAACTACTCAATTTTTCGTCTTCATCTTGTTTTCCTAAACAACAAAACAGTTTATGTTATGTTGCTTTAACTTAACATACACTTACCGTGTCGGTTACTAATAAGAGATTCCAACGAATATGGTTTATGATTTAATAGAAAGAAAAAGGAAAGAGTCACATATCAAAATTTTCAGAACAAAGAAACATTCATACTTTCATTATTATGGCAAAAGTGAGCATTGATGGATCTTTGTTGTTTATCAACAACACAAGAATTACTTGAATCACTATAACTTCGTCTAACAATAGCTTCTAATGGTACAATTGATTCAAATTGTTTCTGAATTGCAATCGATCGATGTGAAAGTGGATCAGAAGCTGGAGCTATTTGGAACTATTGAAATCGTAATCGATTATCTATATTTATATTCATTGTATGAAACAATATTTGTCATGAATGACTAAAGAAAAATAAATAAAGATAATGATCAATTTTTTCTTGTTTGATAAACAACGAACCCAAAGAAAGTTAAATGAATCATTATGATTCAATGCTTTATTGAATCAAATAATACAACGAAATTCAAGCTATTGTATGTATATATGATGATGTTAATATAAAATGGTGTATCATTGCAAGTATATTTATACTTCAACTTCGTCTTCTTTTCGTTCTTCGTTTCTAATTATATAAACACTCTACCTTCATGAGTAAGAAATTACCGCTACAAATCTCAAATCATGCAGTAGAATCTTATTTAACAAGCAAAAGATAGTGTAATATACAATAAACGATAAACATTTTTACAAATACAGTCCTGCACAAAAGTAATCGTCCCGCATGAAGTGCCACTATTCTTTATGGTATTGAGCTGATATTTTGAGTGCTGGTCTCTGACAATAAACGTTAGTCGCTAGTACTAATCCACCTTCCATCAGCTCGCAGGTACTGCAGTTATGATTCACACATCCACTTTCCCTTCTGAAAACCTAGTCAGTGGAAGTATGTACTCAAAATATTGTTGTTTATCATTGTGCTATTCCACAAGCTACAATTGATTTCTTTTCTAGCGTTAAAGATAGTTTCATATGTCTACGTAATTATCACAAAAGTCCGTGACACATGGAAAAAATGTTAGTAATTAGTAGGCTTTGAGATGGTAGGCCCATACCGTAGCCCTAATTCGAGTACATTTAACATTACTTCTCTAAAAATTTCAGAATAGAGTTGTCGTCTCATACGAACTCTATACTAAAATTTTCAAAGGAATTGGCCAAAGTCATCGTTAAAGAAAATCCATTTTACTAAAAACAAACGTTTGCTCTTCAATAGACATCCTTAACGACAAAACATTAATTCAATTATTTCACAGTGATTTATAAAGAAATTCAGAATAGAGATAACCATGTCAGTGGCCTTTTGAATGAGAGATTAAACGAAAATATTTGTGTCAGCATGATTGAGATAAGGTGATCACAAGAGAAAGACGATGCCGGAACCATTACTCCAGTACATGTGAACCGATGGAGAGCCGATTGGATGCTAGCAATCTAGGTTTATTATTACACATATACACCTATAATAGCAGCTCAACATCATAAACAACAGTAGCACTTCATGGGAGATGTCTACTTTTGTCCAGGACTGTAGATTTTATGCGAGAGATATGTTTGAATAAAACAGAAGTTGTAAAAGTTTCTCTAGCGATGTTTGGTATCAATCAGAAAAGAATGAGCTCTCTGCGATGCTGCTGAGTGGAGAACTTCAAGTGAAGATGTTGATAATTACTGATGCATCACAAATCACTAAAACTAAATGATTTTCACTGCATTATTCTTATTTCAATCGAAGATTAACCGTATCAAAAAGTAAAATTATTGAATAGATAGTTTTATTAAAACATAAGCATTATTCAAATTCAAAAAATAGTAAGTGACAGAAATAAAATAAAATAAAAACAGTATAAAACAATATTTGATTGTCTTTTTTCAGTTATCACTGCCTCATTTAGAAAACACAAAAAAAAAACAGAAACAATTGGTAAATCGTCTGCTTGTTGAAATTATATATAGTTAGAAATGAGTTCATATTAAATTTTATTTTGTAAAATTTGACTTGTTATTTCTTGAATAATTTCCATCATTTTATTTCGATGTTCACTTCTAGGTAATATGTCTTTGTTCGTTACTGTCAATAATAACAAGCCATTTTGAATGAATAAGAATATTGAATTTAAGATAATCAGTTTCTTTATTATCGTTACAACAATAACCAAGTCCACTTGAAAGTATATAAATTCCATAATCATTTGTTAAACGTTGACATATTTTTGTATAGAAATGAAATAATTCAACATTATTCATTTTTCCATTTAATCCAAAATCACTCATTGCTAATGTAATTTTTGTTTCATAATTTGGTATGCCAAAAATAATCAATGATTCTGGTGATGATCGTCCACCACGTCTAATATTTCAATCACATTGCTTATGACGCCCATTTTTGGTTACAAATAAGCCACCTGCATATATTCCATTTTTATAATCAATTTCAGATGCTTCAACAGCAACCATAAATGAATATGCTTGAAACATACGTTACCAATATGTTGGAGAATCATTCAAATCAGTAGGCGAATATGAAGTCCACTAGAAAAATCGAAAATATTTCTATAAAACTATTAAAATACAATACTATATCTTGTTAAATCTCATTCATTTATATTCAATTCTTTTAGAACAAAATTATCTTTCATTTAATTTCATTTAATTTCATTTGTGTACCTTCATAGTGTTCTATAGTCATGCATATTTCTATTTATAGTACAAACCTTATTGCTGTTTTTTCTAGCAGATCAATTATTGAGGTTAATAAGTTAATAGTCTGCTTGATTTGTTAGTAGAAAGTCAGGATTTGTTTTGATTTGATAAAATCTATTCATTCAACATAGACATACTGATTTGATAAAACAATAATTTTCTCGATCATCGTTTCGATTTGTGGTTAAATTTTTTGAAATTCTTCTCATTTATACTCATAAAAAATCTTATTTCTATAAATAGTTCATGCACTTCATAGTAATTAGAATTTTCACGTAATAGAAAGATCGAAAAATTAGCAACATCTATAAAAAAAAACATTAATTAGCTAAAAGTGCACCAGAAGAGCGTCACTTGATAGTTCTATTTAGCACTTCGTTTTGTACATTGGTACTTATTGCATACAAGTAATAATTATCTCAAAAGACCACACCACTTCTAAGAAGATCAAAATAGACTGTTCAGCACTATGGCGTCCTACTGGGTACTACGTCATCTTGTTGAGTACTACATTTTATTGTAAATGCCTGTTGCTAAGCACTACGGAGTGTACCAACTTTATATAGAATTTTGAGACTTTATGGAAGTTAAGCAGAGAAATTTGAGCCCGGACCAAACATCATGTAACCATTTTATCCAGCGTCTAGATTATAGTGCTGATACCTCTTCCAAGATCGATTTGATCGTTTCAAAGTTTGTAGTTATTATACCATTTGCTGTTTGTCGATGCCAACAAAAATAAGTGTCATTCCCTTTCGGAAGATATGTGGACAATATATGTATAGCCTGCTTTTCGCATCACTTGAGATCTAGCAAGATGACTTCACAGTTGAAACATGTAGTTATTCTTTCTTCGATTTGAACGAGACAGGTGATTTCAAAAATGAAAATTAAGCTTTAATGCAATTCTGCGAATAAACTAGGATTTCTCTAATTAGTTACTTTGCCTTATAAACAACCATAGTTCAGCCTATTAATACATCTAGAGTGCCAAATTTATATTCAATACGAAATGACTATAGGATAAATAGTTCAATATTAAAATACGCTTATTTTGATAATATACATTATTTTCAAAGGCTGCCAATCTTTTCATTGTATAGCATTTTCGTCGATATATAGATTTCGGTACAGTTTGAAAAAACTCCATGATGGATTTACAAATCGACTAACATCCAAAGAAACTTGATCTATTGCAAACATCTAAGTAAATGTTGCAGTGAAAAATCGGTTGATCTCAAGACTGTTTATGCTTTATTAACTTATATTTTTTATGAGTCATAAGCATTATTATAATACGAAACAGATGTATTATAAGAAAGTTTGTCCTTTCTCATTGTATTTGATATGAACTCAAAGCATTGAATATACTTCTGTGGAATCATGTGTAACTAGCAGTATGTGTCTTATTTGTTCATTATTTATATCGATAAGACTTCATCCAATAACACAAATCAATTCTTCTCGGTTATAATATTCACATGTATATGGTCATAATACAAGCAGAATGAATAGAAAATAAAGTAAAATTCAGTTTTCACAGACTCGAACAGAGAACAACATAACATTCATTTTCTGTTCCACATAGATTAATTGATGTTGGAAAAAGTTTTCATCAATAACAAATCCACAAATTGTATAATCAGTATAAATATCACCAGATCGTTTTGGTGGTTCACCAAATTCTTCAATAACGGCTAATGTTGGTAATCGTTCTCCAACTATTTTATTTGTTATATATTCACGTAAATAATTAATTCATCTTTCTGATTCTTCTTCACAATCATAAATAATAGAATTTTCAGTTGGACACATACATGACCAACCAGTTGCACCATTCGCATCTAGTTTAACAAATGCTTATAAATTATCTTTCTGATAAAATCGATCAATAGCGTGAGTGATAGTTTGAGCAAAAACCTACAGAGATCAAGAACAAAACATATAGTTTGCCTTTTCTTTTTCTTTTTTGTCATATCGAAAATTACATTGAGAAACATTTACTTCAATATTTTCTGACGTATTTTCTGTATAAGTTGGATCTAGATGTTCCAATGTTTTGATATATTTTTAACAATGATCGATTATTGTTCCATCTGGTGATACAGCTAATAATTTTGATAAAGCAGTAGATGCCTGTGATCGTAAAACGAAATTATGTTTTGCTTTATCATTTGTTGGTATATCAGGTAGTTTTAGTCGATTGCCATAAGATTGAAGTTCTTGTTGATGAAATTCAGTCATTTCATAAGGAAAAATAAATGATCGATGAATACCTTCAGTAACTTTATCTATATGTTGTTTTAACATGTCAATATAATATTCTGGATAAAAGTCATCTGATGAACGTTGTGCAAATGTTTCATAAATTTTCATGTATTCTTTTAATTTTGTTTTAAAAATATTAATATGTTCAAGTAACTGATGGTTTGAATCTTCATAGAAAATTTTAATTTGAACTGAACGTTTAAGACATTCTTGAATTAGTTGTTTTCATTTTAAAAAACTTTCTAATTCAATTGAATTTGGGGGCGAATAGACAATTGCTCAACCACCACAACAAAATGCAGTTGATAACCAAAGAGCAGGTAAAAGTGATCTATCATAACCACGTATGCCATGAAAAGTAGCAAGTTCCAATTCCGGTAGAATTACAGCAGCATCATCGAGAATAATTATTTGATCACTATCATCGAATGTTGATGAAATTCGACGTGATAATTCAGCACGATAATTTAAATTAGCTGGATGTTGAACATCCCAAGCTGCTAATGCGTCTGGGCAAAGACTAAACAAATTAATTTCACGTGATGATGGTTGACTATTATATTGCAGTATGTTTTTAGTACAATTACATGCTGTGTTAATTAATGAATTGGGCATGATGATTTCTATAAAAAATTTAAAAAAAAATATTAGTATAATCTTCGCGGTATTAAAATGTGAAACTTGATGCAGCTGCTGTTGCCAATCATCACAGGAAAATTGTTTTATTCTATCTATTTTGCGACACATTTCTTCAATCCTTTTTACTTGATCCTTCAGAAATGCAATAAGGAAGTAATTCATATATTATAACGAGACGTAATTGGTATAGTTTGTCATAGTCTGCAGAGAAGAGAAATAGGTGCAAATTTCTATCCTATGTACACCCGTAGGTAGCAGTCTTCCACTCTTCCTCTTCATTCTTTCCTTTTTGGATTCCTTTCGTCTCAAGTTAAATGCAGACACAAAAAAGAGATAACTCAGTTGTGAAACATCCTGTCAACTAACTCATTTGCAATGTTGCTGAGTTGTATGGAAATAAGTATATTCTTCATTAAAGCAAATTGTCGTCAACCGTATACTACATTACAATCAAGTACTTTTGGGATTCTATTTGAAAAGAAAGAGGATGAGGAAAGGGTGACAAATTTTTATCCAAGAGTGTACGTCAACACTTTTTAAATCGTGTTTCACAATAAATTTATAAAAATGTATGATTATTAAAGGTTCACAGAGAACGTTTCACACCTTCTTACAAATACTATATGTATAGAGAAACGCCTGAATATAGTAGTACTTCCAATCGATAGTACTACTGCATATTTTCTATACTTATATGTAATACTAATATACACTTTTCTGAATGCTCCGCGATGATAGTCTATTGTAAAACGTTGTTATTTGATATATGCAATATTTTATTCTTGAAAACGAATGTTACTATTATTGCGATCTTTCTTTCGTACTTATTCACCCTTCTCTATTCAATCGTTCTTTTGTAATTATTCTTGTCACATGTTTTTGAATTTATAGTATTGTAGCAAAGAGAATGACGATCGTTTTTATTTACTTTATATTATTGCTGCGTTGGTCACTTGTTATGAATAGATCATCAAGTTCTTTTGCTCTAAACCATTGGATAGTCTTTTCCTCTTTTTTTTATGTATTCTTATATGGAAGAAGAGAAGAAATGACGGTGTTCTGTTATAGTTGTGCAGAACATATGCATATTTGAACATTGTACGTAACAGAAAGGAAAGAAAAAAATGAACGAACTGGAGAGACTAGAGAAGCAGATATTTTATTTTTCAAGGATAGACGAGATGATTTACACGACTGCTGAACAAAATAGATCTCCATGAAGTATCAATCGAGCGTTTTATTACGAGAAGATAAAGTGGAAAAATATTATATCTATTATATAATTGACACTACAAAAACATATATGAAATATCTCCATTTAATTGGCATTGTTTAACTGATGTATTCTTTTGCCTATGTATAAGTATATACACTTCATAGATCAAGAAATGATACTGCCAGATCCTCAAAGATACGATGAACAAATTGTTACACAGAACATCATTAACTTGAATGAAAATTTTCAAATAAACCACACATTCCATTAATAATATATTTACAAATAAAGTAAAAATTATTTAATTGATTGAAAAGAATGATTTTCTTATAAATTTGCATCTATGCTGAATATCAGAGTAATTTTAGCATTCGCATAAGATCAAAGTTTTTTATTAGCAAAAAGTATAGATTTCAATAATGTAAAGAACAAAAAAGAAAGGATATTAAAATCAAAATATTTCTCATTTAGATACATTACATTCAGTAAAATTTTTGTATCTAAAACAATAGCAAGTTACAATAACGACTAACAGCAGGTAATTTAATAATCGATAAATGAATATTATTTTTGCTCAAGCTAACATGTATTTTTTATTAATTTTCCTGTTCGCTTTATTCACTAAAAACATAGTATTGTACTTACAGTAGAAATGTATCCAGAAATGTTACAAAGGAAGTCCTACTGCTGAACAATCACCTTTGAATCAATACTATATGCATTATGTGCACTTAAATGAGTTACGAATACTTTGGAATGAGTACCGGTTCTTAGCTTATTACTGGGGAGATACCGCACTTTAACAGTAGTATTTAAGTAAACGTCATGGTAACAGAAAAAACTGATTTTCGAATACCATCTTGAAACTTTGCATAGAAATAGGTCTTAATAAGAATAGCTTGTGATGAATATTTCAAATCTTGCCGTCGTTCGTATTCTAAGATACAACTATGATAATCGCATGTATTTTCTTTTCTTTCATATAAATTGATAGATTTCATATTGTTATTTCAGAATATAGAAGAAAATCGAAAGACTCGAAACTTTTACAACAGATGACTATCTCTTCGAAAAATTTCAAGGCGAAATTCGAAAATTAGTTTTTTTGTTTTTACGACATTCTTTTAATAAATATTTGAAAAGTGCAATATCTTTTCAGCAATAATCTAAGGGTATGAATTTTTTTCAGAATCTTCATAGCTCATTTGAAGCTACATAATGCATAGTCTCGATTCAAAAGTAATTTATCAGTTGGAGAATTTCCCTCCTTAGTCAAGAATGCTAATGAATGTAACTGTCTTCTTCACACGTTGACAACACATAATAGAGATCGAACAAGCATCCGAACGTTTGATAGATTTAAATTAGTAATGATAGCAGCTTTTTTAAATAATTATATCGGGTGTCCCAGAAAGAATGGGCCTCTCAGTATTTTTAAGATTTCTTCTCTATTATCCCTGTAATTAAAGCTCTCTTTATTATCAAAAGATAGTGCTTGAAATTCTCTACAAAACCATATATGAGTTGGCCCCAAAACTGTCTTAGATATATTTGAAAAAAGACGAAAACTAAAGGCATACAAAAACTGTAAAATGTAAATAACGGGTATTCCATAATAAATGGCCGCACTTTGCATTTCATATATATATCTTTAAATATGTTTTACTAAAAAAAAGCAAAATATACCATAAGATGCAGGGTGAAAAGCTCTGCAATCTAGAAATTAAAGTCTATTTTAATTGTATATATTTTGTTTACAAAAGAAGCAAAATTTTGTGCAACCAATTTTCGCCATTGCGAAAAAAATCACTGGTTTTTACACGAACGAGAATTACTTTTCTTATTTTATCTTTTTACTACCTAATATAGTTCCTTAAAAAAAATCAAAATGTATTGCAAAATGCAGCGTCAATAGCTCCACAATTTACAAAGAACAATTTATCTTATTTGGGTCATTTTTAAGTTGAAAATAACTCCAAACTCTATATGATCGGTTTTCGCAACGACGAAAATCCATCGCACAGAGTTTTGCTTTTTTTTGAAAACAAAAAGTATACAATTAAAATAAACTTTAGTTAGTAGATTGTAGAGCTTTTCATCTTACATCTTATGGTATATTTTGTTTTTTTAATAAAACCAATTTAAAGATTACAAAATGAAATACAAAGTGCGGCTGTTTATTATTAGTGACATATTTATATTTTACAGTCGTTTGCATGTCTTTAGTTTTCGTCTTTTTTCAAATATATCTAAGACAGTTTTGGGGCCAACTCATATATGGTTTTGTAGAGAATTTCAAGCACTATCTTTTGATAATAAAGAGAGCTTTAATTACAGGGATAATAGAGAAGAAATCTTAAAAATACTGAGAGGCCCATTCTTTCTGGGACACCCGATATATATCTTTGATTTTTTAGAATCTTTGTTCACAGATTATTCTTCTATACGAATGAAAAACTTTAGAATTGCAAATAAAATAATATCTAATGATTACTAATTGAAAGTATTGATTAACTATCATTTTCATAAGATTTTCTTTTTTTTATTTGTTTCAACCATTCAAAACAAAAAGTAACATATTAATTTATTGCTGCTGTAAGCAACTTTTCTCTTAAACAAGAAAGACTTATAAGAATAGCTTCTTCGGTGCGAATTGTTCGACTTCCTTGTTGTGGACATGTATTTATATAAAAATGAAATAATTGTTCAGCTGTAATACACTCATCTCGTGCAATAGCTTTTTCAAGTCCTTGTAAACCACCAAATACAATTAAAGCATGTCGAAAACGAGGAAATTCAGTAATTTTATCATGTAATATACCACGTTCAGATGTTCCAATAACAAGATCATATTTTGCTTCATGATTATTGTCATCAAATGGACAATTTTCAATAATTGTTCGAATTGAATCAGCTTTTCGCACTTGATATCCCCAATATAGACCTGAAAGAAATCAAATAAATTTTGAGAGAATATCAAATGATCTTACCAGATTCTAAACGAGGAGTACTTGGACTAACAATTTCACCCGTAATTCTTCTCTTCTTGTTTATTGGTTGGCTTTCATCTATAAAGAAAATTAAGGAATTCCTTTTTTAGTCAGTTAAAAAAAAGATTTTACTTTGTAATTCTTTAGTTTGAAAATATTCCTCTTGTGTTATATCTGTTCGTTGTATAGTAACACGAAGACCTTGTTGTAAACGTTTATCAATTTGTATCTTCGTTTCATAAAGACCAACATCAATCCATGAACCTTTTCCTTCAGCAGGTTTTAATGGTAATGTAACACCTTCACGATAAAACCAATATTCATTTGCACGTAAATGATGTGGTGCATCCAATGGATTAAGTAAACCAGCATATTCAAGTAATTTTTGTCGAGGAAAAAATTGTTTACGAAGGTATTGTGGACTAAAATAAACAAATAGTGTGAATATATGTAAGTTTTTCATTACACTCAATTAATCTACCATTCAAGATATTCAAGAAGTCGAATAAGTTGTTCACTTGCAGTGAATGGATTATTATCAATTTCTTCATTTGTTTCATCATCATTAAAAATAATTATTTCATCTATATTAAAAACACATGCTGCTCGACCAATTTGTCCAGCTAAATAAGTTCGTAATTCTTTTGATTGAGCATTACGTAATATAGAAGAAGGTAAAGCTATTGATAATGTATATGAACGACCTTTAATTGATTGTGACGTTATATTCGATGATACAGTAGTTTGTTGTTCTACTTCTTCAGCTTGTTCAGCATCGAGTTGTTTTTTTAATCGAGCATTTTTCCATGTACGAAGTTGTTCTTTATATCGACGCCAATCAGTTGGATGTGTTGATGCTTTTAATGGACGTATTGGCCGAGAAATATTAGCATCATTCGACATATTTGAGTTCTGAGAATGTGTGTGGTTTATAAGATGATGAATGAAGTCTATGTGTTGCCCTTATCCTTATTGATTGAAACAAATGAACCAATCATTTTATATGTATGACTCATTAGACGAGGTTGACGTTAGCTGCTGTAAAGGTGCACCATCTTACGTTCTGATACATTTAGTGATAGAGACAAATAAAATATCTATTTTTTCTGCATATGCTTGCTTGCTGTATATGAACAGCGTATGAAGTAGAATTTTTCTTATTAATGGATCTCTAGTATTTTATGAATGAGCTGTGGCCTTGATAAAACTCGATAATTTCTATTTTCAACATATCATTAATTTTGTGCATGAAATCAATGGTAATGGTGAATCTCAGAGGCCGCGCGACCAAAGAGGGGAGGGGGCGTAGGGATGAGACTATTGTACCATACAATAGCGATTGAAAATTATCAAAAAGCTTGATTATTTTCTGCGATAAGTCGAGATGTTCCAAATATTTGAAGTTTTTCTGGTAGTGCAATTTAGAATCATTCTTCAAATATCTCAAGTAGACTCAAGAGTCTTACCATTTTCGTCGATAATTAGTAAACTTGAAAAGATTTTGAAATTATTATGATAAAAGTGTAAATGACTCCATGACTTATTCAATAGCTACAACCTCCGAACATAACTAAAATTTCTGCCGCTTCCAAGAGCAAAACTAATTTATTGGTTTTTCGAAATCTCAGTATGAGTTCGAAAGTTTCTAATGAAATATGAAAGTCATTGCTTTGGTTAACAGTTGTTGCGATCAGAGCTGCCTTCGGCGGCGAAAAAGATTCAAAAACGTTTTTGAACTGAATGTGAAAACGATTCCACCATAAACAATTGCAAGACAAGATAGAATATTTCAAGAATCTACAGTTATGTTTGTTACGAAGTAAATGACTGCAGTTTTGTGTAAACTTATGAACTTGTTTCAAAGTTTGACTTTTATGTAAAAGTCGATTGAAGTGACAACATTTTTTGCGCATTTCTGAGCGCAAGGAAAAATGAACATTACGTCTACTTGATTTCGACTGACTTGAAAACACTACTTCGCTGGATCACACGTTTCTTCCGTTTCTAGAAATACCTCAGCTATCTTCCATCGCGATTAGTTTGTGTCCATTCGATGTTTTATTCCATGTTATAATGACAATTAGACAGTGTGTTGAAATTTGAAAAAAAAATAAAGCTCACAACATTCATAATGACAAGCATGTCTAAAGAAACTCTATAAATAGCTGTTAATTAAAAACAAATTACTGATAGGTAAGCTTATTCTGCAAATTACATCTCATTAAATAGAAATAATGAAACTCAACATTTAGCGGATTCTATAAAGTGCGGTTAGTTGAAAGTAAAATTAACGATGTAAGTTTTATTAAAATTGTCATCAATAAGTTTTTAAAAATTTAAACAACGCAAATCTGAAATTTTCGACTACTTTTTTAAAAAGGATTTAAGTCGCAAAATAAACTATCTTAAACTTGGTATGAGCAAATTTTTACGAAATTAAACAACGGAAAGTTTAGGCTTGAGGTTATTTCTGTTTGAATAACTTAAATTAAAAAAAACTGAAATTGAATTTAACAACTTTTGAATTTCGGTTTTATTTTCGCAAATTAGAAGATATGACTACTAATTAACTTGTCTGCGTTGGAAATGAAGATACTATTAGTTTGTTTATTTTTTCTCTATCAGAACAAAACACTGCTCCTCATGTGTGATATGTCCGTAGGTGGCAATATTAATGTACATTTTCTCATTATTACCATACAGAACGCAAAAGAAAGCAAAAAAGTGATAGATTATGGTGAAAGAACAGAGCATGGCCAATTAAGTGCGCATCCTAATCAAAGAAATTACCTACCTTATGAAAGCGTCATGATTTATTGACGAATGTAAATTTTTGTAAGTTGGAAAGAGTCAGACAGTTTCGTCAACGATAAATACGCAAGAAGGCGATTTGTGAACACGAATAAAATAAAGTTAATATATTTCAGTACCATTCATTACATGAGTATACTTGATTTTCAACATATTTTTAGACTATGATCAGAAAAAACGGATCGTTTCAACTGGAATCACAACCTGTCTCAAGCATGCCGTCGAACAAGAAGCCGCGAGTAATTATCGATTTGAGCAAAATACTAAATTGGAACGATTCTGCTGAAATAAGACGAATGGAAACCGAATTCAAATTAAATGGTTGGTGTTTCGTCTTTTTACCGACAGAACTCATTGTAGACTCATATCTGACCAAAGCGCTATCAGCATTTTTTGAGTCTCATGACAATACAAAGAACTACTATTCACAACGCATGCAAATATATGGTTATTCTAAAGTGAATCACAAAGAAGGAATCAGATTATTGACAGGAAGCTATTTTGGTAAATTTGCACATAAAGGATTGGTCCCAGAGAACCTTGTTCAACCGTTGAACTATCTTTCTCAAGTACTAGATGCTGTAACAAAACGTTTAATCGAAATTCTTGACCAGTATTCAGTATTCCAACAACAATCATCTTTGTCCTCTCTCTTCAAGTGTGCTGATCTGCCATTACAAGATGAGCATTTTGGTATGCTCGACATTGTGTCCTACTTCAATCAGAAAAGTGGTTTCAAGCCGCCATGTAATGGATCAACAATCGAAGAAGTCAACTGTGTCCCACATTATGATCCGGGTCTCCTTTCAGTTAGTATATTATCGACACACGAAGGACTTCAGTTGAAAAATATGACTAATAATGAGTGGATAGACGGACCGTTAGAACCAAATATTGGTGTCGTTTGGTTGGGAGAAGCAGCATCTCGAATAACACAAAATCGATTAAAGCCAGGTATCCATCGAGTCATTTATCCTCAAGAACAGAAGCGTCGATTGGCAGTCTGGTATGAAGTGTGTACAGTGGAACAATTAAGAAATATAAGCGCTGATAAGAAAGACGAACGAATGGCTGATGGTGTCGTTACATTTGGAAACCTTCCTGGATTAGCTCCAGTTCATGTCTTACCTGGAGAGAAAAAGCTGGAGTTTTTGAAACGAGTTGAAATGGGATTTGGATTACCGGTGAGCAAACTAGGCCATGTATCTTATAATCTTCAAACCTATGGCATTGGATATCCAACAACAACAACTGAACTTGACGAACCAATGGACACAACATGAAGTCGAAAATAAAATCCAACAATATTGTAAATCATTAGCGACGAGAAAAAGTGATATCAGACGTTAATATTTTTCCAGTGTATACCTATTTTTCACTGTTTTTATAGAAATCTATCTTGAAGTACATTGATTGGGCTGTGGTGTCATGCGGGAACCGTATTAAAAATGATTGTTTTCGAAAACCTTTTTTTTGTAAATACTGTCCAAATTTTGCTTTTTCAAATAAAACATGTCGAAATCAATCTGATGTTACATTGTTGATAGATACCTTTTTGAGATTGTTTCAAAGACCTGTGCACCTCTGACAAGCTCTTTCATTATTCATCAAGTTGTAATTAAATTAACACATCTATTATTTGAATGAGGTTAAACTGAATATCAACATCCGCTACCCACACCCACCCGCGCTCTGAAATATGAGCGACGATGGAATTTGAAGAATTTCACTTTTCCATGTTTTTAGATTATTCTCACTAAAACCAAGTTTTTGAGGTGAAGATCGACCATGAGAAAAAATCTTTTTTTATAAACTGATAGAGCATGAAATTCTCTATCAATTGAGATATTTTATTTTTATTTTAGCACAAATCTCTTGGTTAAGAAATGAGAAATATGGAAAGAAATTTAAACGTATTTTAGCATAGGGACAAAATTATTTTAATTATGAAAAATCTATATGTACAGACACAGTCTCGTTCTATAATACATCATGTAGCCGACCTCTCGTACTATCTATATCATCATTTGATTCAGATCCACACTGCTTAGTATAAAAAACAATACAGGTAAACAAAACCACTGAAAAATTAATTTCGCTTAAACTTCTGTCGTTAACTGTAGTCCACTAATTGATTCTTCCAATCAACACGAGGGTATTTGCAACTATACATGGATCAAGTTCAAACTCAAACCCAAGCATCCAAACTGTTTGGAGTTGGATTTGGGTATTAAGTTTGGGTTTGTATCTGCTACATCAACCCACAAAACCAATTGACTTTGGATATATTGCCGTTTCACTATCGTCTCTTTGTATATTAAAAATGTCGTTTTTTTTACATATAAATACAAGCAAAAAACATACTTCTGTGCTTCACATTGCCGAGTGACAAAATGATGTAAGTTTCTATCCTTTGAGGTTCAGCCTGCAGAAGGGAGATTGTTAATCGGTTTGTTCGCATTCAGATTAGCTGAAAATCGAAAGCACGTTTCTCAGTTGTAGAAGCAATATTTTGCGATTCTATCAAAGTCGCCAGCACATATTCGAAGACAAGAAATTTGAATGAGAACTCCATTCTCCTCGAAACTTTTTGGGTGAACAAGAACCGATAGAAATCGAGTATTTTGAAAAATTGTTCCTAAAGGTAATTCGAAATGGACACTTCGAATCTGAGCTCTGTTAGACTGTAAGCCACATTGGTGGATCAGAAATCAATAGAAACAGAATTTTGTAAAGAAAGCTCCAGTAAGAAGTTACTCAAGAATGGATGTTTGAATTTGCTGTCTATGTGGTTTGAAACACTATTCTCAATCTTAGAAGACGGAGTCTTCAGATACTGATATGTTAGGTAATAATAAAAGATCAAACATGAAACCGAAAACATATGATTGGTTATCATCGATTGGAATCATAGATTGATCATAGATAGCTAGTCATATTTTTTTCGGTTTATTCCGACTTTTGGTTTCATTTTCGACCTTTTATTATTATCGAGATATGTTTTTTCATGCACTACTTGATGAAACACAATCGTCCAATGACATTTCTTCATGAGTCAAATTCAGTAAATCGGAGGCTTTTGGTATTCAACTGTGGGTGTCGGTATAAGACAACGCAACAAGAAAGAACCATACCCATAACCATATCAACACCCACCCACACCATTTTCAACTCGAATTTCAAAGTCAAGTAAAGCACTTTTCCTTAAGTACTACACTTGAGAGTCAATTCGTGTCTTTTTTGGCTGATAGCTGTCGATTTTCGAGCAGAACAAACTCCATTTGACTTCAAATAAATGTCAAATTCGAACTGATGAAATTCACTTTTTCATGTAAATCTGAGGGGAGAGCGGCGATAAAAATTTCACAGAAAAAATAAAGTCACAGTAACAATTTCAAACGTACATAAGTCAACTCAGCTTTTTATGCTGATTACAAATATGACATTTGTTTGAAGTCAAACGAAGTTTCTTCTGCTCGGAAACCATGAGGTATTAGTAAAAAAAGACATAAATTTACTCTCACGTATAGTGCTTACGGAAAAGTGCTTTACTAGACATTGCAATTCGAGTTGAAAATAATGTCATCAGAAAGGGGACATTTAATTACACATTTGGTAAAAAAAACTTTGCTGATGCACCTGCTGAAACTATAACTTCATAGGACTGAACAAATCACTATTGTTAACAGTTTGAGCCAATCAAGACGATATTCGGCATTTTTTGATAGAAAAACGTTTGAATATCTAAGAACTTCTTATAGATTCTGATAGAGTAAGAAATTCTGCATCAAATGGACTTATTGTCAACGAATGTAAGTCAAATTTTAATGAACTGTTAGGTCAAAAGTTGGATTTGAAGGCTTTCAGAGAGTGCTTCAGATCTTTCTTATTATCTGAGTACTTTTTAAAAAGATCTAATATTTGTAATTGTCACACTTAGTGCTATCGAAGTATAAAGACTTCTAATATAACGGCGATAAAAAAAAGAACTTTTCGATACCTGACGGAACCCCAGATGTGAAAAATAATAAGTATTCAATGTTGATTCTCCGGCTAATAACCCTAGGTTCAGATTTTTTCGAATGATTGTGCCGTAATTTGATACATCTTTTTTAAACAAAATTTTGTATTGACTGGTTTAGAGACATACTGAGTCATAATACTCGAATATATTACACGCAATTACTATGAAATCTCTTAACTGGTAAATGTCTTCTCAGGACACCAAAACTTGATGAAAAAGTGAAACTTTCTATATATTATTCGATGTGCCATGAGTTGCTCTACAGAACGGTATAGATGACTTTTCAAATACAGAGCTATCATCTTATCCGACAGGGTCCTTTCAAATGATATTTGAGTACAGTGAATAAAAACATTCCTTTTACTGTACATTGATATATAGATCGAATAAGTGTATGTTTATGAATGATATGCAGTCATAAATAGTAATTAGTATATTGACTTTGGAGATTTTATGCTCGAAATTTTAATATTTTAAATAGAAAACTTGAAAATTGAAAATGTTCCGGCTTTTCATCATTTATCTCATTCCGTATGTTCTTCATGTTTGGAATAAAACATATTTCATATACATATGTTGATTTATAAAGATAACAGAAATCAATATAATTATCCACAATTCGTTGTATTAGTAGCATTTCTATTGAAAAAAGAATGAATGTCCTATTATTCTAATAATGTGATTTTAATTTATCACAACCATATGTTCATAATCGCTCTCTAGCTCTTTTAATAATTTATGACATCACATTCTCATTATATACACATAATCATTTCTATCATAATTACCATATGATAACTATATAGATTTGCTCTTTTTATTTTAACAATGAAACAATAGCTGACTTCTCCGATACTTATATTTTCAATTTTTATTATGAAAGAAAATTATAAAAAGAAATTATTTGAAAAAGATCATTAGTATGTGCAATATTAATCGTCATTAGTACTCAATTAATTAGTAGTAGAAACTTCATTTGTACTACGAGATGAAATAAATCCGCCATATTGTTCTGAAATAAATACAAAAAATATTGAGGAAAAAAATATTATTTGCTATTCTCACTTTCATTAATAGTAGATGAGATATTTGAAATTAATGATCGCTTAATCGGTGGTAAAGGTGGACTTGTTCGTTTTACATCACCAGCACTGGAATTGAAGGGTGTACGAGGATTTCTTTCGTGACTTTTTGCTAATTTATTATTGACAGATATTAAAAGAAAAAAACAAAAGAATTCAAAGTACCTGATACAGTAAAAAGACCTTCTCTTGAAATACGAGTTAAAGTTTCACTTGGTTTTCTCGTTCGTGCATTACCAATACCAGGTCTTGATAAAGCAACATAAGAACGTAAATTCAATGATGGCACACATGGATCAATTCCATTATTAGTAAAAGCAGATAAAAGTGATGTACTTGCATGAGTCATTGGCATTAATGCTCGTTGAATATCAAATTCTTGTAATCGAGTTAATTCATTTAATTTTATAGGCTTTTGTTCAGTATCAATATTACTCCCAGTTGAATTATTCTGCTGATCAGCTGATAATGCTGGAGATAGAACAAAACTTTTTTCGATCTATAATTGTTGACAAATAAAAAATAACAATGAATTTGATCCTCTTTATTCTCTTACATTAAAATGTGGTTCTTCATCATCTGATGAGCTAATTGATGATATTTGTGTCGGTATTTGTTGCTTTCTAACCTTTTGACTACTTGTATATTGTGATTGTAATGATTGTCGACTAGGATGATGTTTTTTTGTTGCATTTTCCCTTAATAATGCTTCTCGTCGAAGTTTTTCGTATTTCATATAAGATTGAGTAGCAGTTCTTAATGACAAACACTTCATTGGTTTGATAAACTTTACCACGTTTTTTTTTCAATGTGTAAATGAATGTTTGGTTTAAAAAAAAAACAATGTCAAACAGAAAGAAAAGGAGAAATACTGTTTTTTTTTTCGTACTTGAACATTACGGCCCATGAAATAGATTAATCCATTGTTAAAGTGTTTGTCAATTTTTGATAATAAAAGTATTCTGCTTACTGAAGCATTACCTTTTTTCAAAAATTTCTTCCTTATATATATCATCGAACGAAAAACATATTTAACGAAAAAAATCAAACAAATACCAATAGTGTAAAAGTTGAAACTGAACTTTAACGTAGCAAATTTCAGATCTCTATGAGTTCTTGCATCATAAGACGGAGGTAAAAGAGTATAAAATATGGCAAAAACATTTATAAACATTAAGATCTCTGAAAAATCAATATTCGACCAGATGCATCCAAATCGCATGAAATTGTCAGTCGTATATCATGATGTTTGAGGATGATATTCAACAAACAAAAGTCAAAAAATTGATCATTTGACAATCCAAAATTTTCTGCTGACTCTTATTCTATAGATTTGATTTGTTTTTTTATTTATAAGAGAATGTTTGACTACAGTGTCTGATAGAGCCATTTTTCTAAATTCTTACTTTTTATGTAAAGAAAAAGAATGGCAAGTTTTTAATGCATCGAAAAATGGTCATCTACTTATGGAAGCGCTTTTTTTATAGAATAATAAAAAAAACTTAATTAAAAAAACAAATGGTGCAGCTTCACATTCTTTTTCAAAGAAAACAAAAAACTGTTAGCTACAGCGAAGCTCTGCCGAGAATTTTGAGATGTGCGATAAGGAAAGCATATACAACGGAAATTATCAAAAATTTTGGCAAAACACGATGCGTTCAATAAAAAGAAATCATATGTATTATGAAAGATCAAATCTCAGACAATACTCCCATGCATTTATCTCAAGATTGATTTTTCTGACGGAAACTTAATATAATCAACAAAATCCAAAGCATACATCAATCTTTTATCATATCTGAAGAATACTTTGATTTTCAGTTTTTAACTTATTAGTATTCAAACAAAAATTATCTTAGTACGTATGAATGATGTGTTTTTAGAATGTCAGAAATATATTTACCGTCCTTGATATGAAAAAATTGGGCGTATTAAAAATATACTAGATTCATCTTCCAAATGATCAAATTTTTCTGTTAGTGTTCTTGCTAAATTAGCACGTTGTTGACGAATATCTGATATACATTTTCCTATTTGAGTTGAACGCTAAATTCATAATAAAAAAAAAGAAACAAAAATTTAATTTAAAAACCAATAAGCTTGATTTAACAAACTCGTTCATGTAATGATCCCATTTTTTCTAAGACATTTTTTGTTTCATTATCAAAAGCATAACTTTCAATACGATCTATAAATGAAAAATTTGAAATAGAAACATTAACTTTTTTTATTTACGTTCAATTTCCACTGCTTTCTGATATTGAATATATCGTTTAACAAGATTACTGAATTGCTGAGATGGTAAACTAATATAATCTGTCATTGCTTCGTTTAATTCCTAGAAGAAAATAAAATGTTTATTTTATTTGAAATTTAATTTTGTCATTTAACGTACACTGTATGTTGTTTCTTGTACTTTTCCTTTATAAACTGCTTGTTGAAGTGTTTTTTCATTTCGTTCAGCATCAAGACGAGTAAACATAATACTTGGTTCAATAATTCCGTCAGCTTCAATTTTTGCTAGACGTTTTTGAAGATGAGTTAATTCGTGTCGAAGACTTTTAATTAATTTTTGTTCATCATGAATCACACTTTGATTTTGACTAAAAATACACAACTAAAAATTCAATTGAAAATATTTCTCTTACTTTAATTTTTCTTCATATGTTTTATTTGTTTGATTTAAAACTTTTGTTACATGTTCATATTTAGTTGTTAAATCAATAATTGTGAATTCATTTTCTTGAGGAATTGATGATTGTTGAGTTTCAACTACAGAAGTTTCTGCAATTGGTTCTAATTCGTGTTTAATTTCTTTTTCTTTTCTTTGATATTCATTGACTGTAGATACTAGCGTTGTTATACATGTTTGTAAAACTTTAACTGTATCTTTCAGTACGCATTCGGAATTTTTAATGAAATCCTCTGTCATATTATTATTATTATCATCGCTATCAGATGATAATTGTTGAATTATTTGAAGACGATCAGCAAGTGATGTAAATTTGTTTTGTTCAAGTAAATTTATTATTGCATGACGAAATTTATATATTGTATCATATAAATGGAAGAATTGAAGCTTAAATTGATCTGTTTGTGTCATTTGCGTAGTAATTCTGAAAAAAAAGAAATGAATTAATATGCAAATGCTGAATAAATATACTTTTCTGTATGCTCGAACAAATGTCGTGAATCGTCGGGTGATGTTTGTTGTTGATCTTGTTCGATCACTATTGCAATGTTTAAAATAAAAATGCATTTTTCTTTTCTAGTTTTTGTAAATTTACCTGACTGATTTTCTTTATCATCACTGTTATCTAAAGAAGAAAATGAAGGTTATTGCTTGATGAAAATGTTAAGAATAATAAAAGATCAAGAAAAAAAAATATGTTTCGTAATTTTTTAATGCTCAAACTTCGTAAGAGTCTTGTTCTTTATTTACCAATACGATTTTCTGATGATTGTAATGCTATTTTTTCTTCTGTGAATGTTGAAGGAATTTCAACTTGTTGTTCAATTTGATTCATTTCATTTTGTTTTTCTTCGATTAATGATGATTGTGGAAGATTTTCGATGGACTCAGTATCTTCATTAACATCCTAAAATATAATTAAAATACAGTTATTGAAAGTAAAAGAAACACAAAATAGTTGTTTTCTTTTCGTATTAGAATATTAGTATAAAAAAGAAGATTAAGTATGATTACCTCTGACTGGGATGATAAACGATCATTTAATAGTTCTTCTACAGGATTAGCATGTTCCGGTAATGAAGTGATATTTTTAAGAGCGTCTTGTTGTTCCTGAAAAAAACTTCAGATTTTAGTTGAATGTATGACAATAGGTTAAAAAATTTACCAAATGTTTTGTCTCGTTTTTTATGATAAATATTTCTCTACAAATCTATTCTCAGAACAGTTTTATTAGGAAAAATATCCTTTCTGTACATTATTCAACTTCCGAGTTTATTTCAGAAGATTTTTCTGTAGGATTATAACTTCAAAAAATGGTTACGGTTAAAATAGTACATTATAAAAAAATTCAAGTCCATATATAAATACGCTCGAAAATATTTTTAGACATCGACAATAACCTATACATCTGATTTGGTTTTATGGAACTCACATATATTTTCGAAGAAAATAATGAGTGTAAGTTTTAAGTGGAGATTTTTATGGTTCCCTTTACCTCCTCTTTAGGTCTTAGCAATCCGGACTAAAGGTTATTGGATATAAATTCTCTCCTACAAATGGCTTAAATGACTGCATCACATTTTTCAATGTTCTAAATAAGACAGTTTCAGATTTTAGCACTGATAAACGATTACATAATAGATATCAAAGATTATGACTAGCAACGTATTTATTCGCCACAGTCGATATGTGACTAATACAAAAAGCAGAAACTGATCAAAGTTCTGACTGTCACGGCTACTTCGTATCAGTATATCTAAGTTTATAGAGATACATAAATATATAATGAGCAGACCGTAACAAGACAAGTAAAAACAAATAGATTGCTAGTACAGAAAACAGTAGTGGTGTGAAATAAAATAAATAAGACAGACATTTTTCCTGACGATCGTTTATTCTTGAGAAAGCGACTATCGTCTGTTAGAGATTTGTGTGAAACAAGATCTAAAAGGAGTATTGTAGTATATATGGTGNCTCATTTTCTTACGAAAGAAATATCTCACTTGATCGTCATTCATTTCTCTACAGTTAATATTGAGAAACTACATACCTATGCGAAACTCTTATTATCAATATTTATACATCACATCGTTGATTTATTATTAAATAATGTCAACTCAGTAAGCAATTTTCTTTCATTTTTTTCTACTTTTTTTGTATGAAACTGTTTTTTAAAATGTTTTTTAAATGAAAAATCTTAATTTTTTATGTTTTTTGAATATAGTTTTGTTTGCGTTAAATATTCCCAATGAAAAGTGGATCCCATTCTTTTTTTAGGCGGCCATCAATATTCAATTATTTATTGAACAAAATTAATTTTATTATCTTTCAAAATCTCGCACAATAATTACATATGATGAACAAATTTATTTTTCGTCTATACGGGTAAGAATAAATCTTGATTCTTTTATTAATTCAACATAAAAATGAGATACCTAAAGTCAAAATTCTATTGTTTAGAAGTCCAAAAAAGGAATAACAAAAGAGAAATTTCACACTAAAAAGAGTTAATTAAAATGTTTATGTAAACGTGCTCAGATTTCGGAAATTTCTGTAATCAACACTACGTAGAAACATAATTCGAATGCCTCTAATCCTTATATGTATAGATGCAGAATAAAATCTATAAGAAATAGCGAACTCTATCCCCAAAACAATGAGAATTTTTAGAAATTTCTGTAATTACTGTAAATTCTGTAATTTTTGTTAAAGTATTGATATTTCCTTGAAATTCCTGGCTATTGTTCTTAATAGGATTTTACGTCACGGTCACAATTTCTTGAGGTATAGAAATTTACTTTTTCAGAAATCTAAACATATCTTAGATTAAATCTAATATATTTTTAAGTGCTGACACCGAAAGATAGATAAAGAAGTTCTCTCACCTTATTTGATATATATAAATCTATAACTATTTTTCTTTATTTTCATAGATCATCTAAAAATGTCTTTACATTCAATTATACATTCAAATTGTTAATTCAACGTCGATGAACATTAGACAATAAATCTTTTCTGTTTTGCACTTTTGTTTTTGTATCTTTGTGGTATTTTGTATCTTCGAGCAAAACAATAATTCATTTAATTTTTTATTTAGAAGACGTTTATCTAGCCGACATAGTCATAGACATGATGGAAAATCATCAAAAAAGTATGAAAAACCAAAAAAGATATTTGCAGATTAAGATCAAATGTATGTTTTTTTTTTCTTTGTTAGACATTCAAAAGAAAGCAGCGAAACTCGTCGCACATCACGATCAAGATTTTCAGTTCGACATCGTTCATCGACAGCTGATAAAGAACATAAATCCGTTCAAACTTCTACTAATCAAACAACACTAAGGATAACAGCTATAAATGAACCTCTTAATAAAGTAACAGTTTTTCTTTACTTTTTATTGTTTTCTAAATTTCCATATCTTCAATAGGAAACTGAACAGAAACGTCTGGAAGAAGAAATTCAGAAACGTAAAATTCGTGTTGAACAATGGCGTGCTAAACGTCGAATAATGCTGGGTATTGATAAAGTCAGACAACAATCAGTTGTACAAACTACAAAAGTATAACAAACAAATATACAATGTTTCAAAAATCCGTCGAGATTAAAAAGGAGTTTCCATAAACATAGTAAAATTGTTTCATTTAATCGTTCAGAAATGCAATAGAAAGTTAAGATGTATTAGAGCAGGATGTTAGTGACATATGATTTGTAATGCTGATGGGTTTGCTAAGGTGTCTTTCAAGGTTTGTGCTGAACTCTGAAAGAAGGAAGAGGACTCGTGTCTTTGAGCTACCTCGTAGTATGAAGTGTTGTGTAGCGGTAAATGTAATAGCCCAGTATCTTTGGATAGAAGATAAACCTGACTCACAAGTCTTGAGCTTCTCATATAGACTAATAAACTACAAAAGCAGATATTTGTCACCATGTAGTCAGAATTCTGTCGTATAAGTCATACAAAACATATCGAACAATGTAGTTACAAAGGCATGACATCTGATGGTATCTGCCTAGCGTCTGCCCTGGTCCGTGGGGGATGAGAAGGATGGATAGAAGCTTTTACTACGAACGTTGTTTGTTATTTTGTTAAGTGTATTAATTTGATAGCAAGTTTTTTAAGAGGATCAGGATAGCAAAGATTGAATAACAATTGTAATAATTTTTATTGAAACAGCGGTAAAATTTATCTTTACGCACATAAATATAAGAGTTAAAAATGCTTTATTACTTACTGAGCTTAAGTAGCCTATAATTATAAGACGAATCATATCAATCGAATTCGATACAGAAGCGATAAATGAAGATGGTTCCTGTTTGTTTCAAATATTGTTTTTTTTTCTAGACAGAACTCAGTAAAAAAGATATCTTCAAATTTCGATGGACTTTTGGAGCATTCTGTATAAATTTTAATTCAATTTTTAATACTTGTTTTTCGTTTCTTTAGGGTAAATTTTGGTCACTAGAAAATGAATGTGATGATGACGATGAAGAAGATTTAGAAAATATTTTTATACCATCAGTCAGTCTTAAATGTGGTGTTGCTGCAGTACGTAAAACATTAATATCTTCACAAGCTGAGAAACAACAAGAAGCAATAGAATGTGCTACACAAGTAGCTGCATGTACAACTATTGAAAAAATCGATCATGACGAAGAAGATCCTTTAGATAAATTTATGGAAAGTATTGCAAAAGAAGTTAAAGGTTTCCGTAAAAATAACACCACAAAAGCAATTACTACAATTAAACAAGAACAATTATCAAATAATAACAAAGGATCAATTATTCAAATTATTAAAAAAACAATTAAAAATGAAGTAAGAATAATATTTCTTTAAATTTTGATTAATCAATTGGATGTAGGAAGCTTCAGAAAAACCGAGAGATTGAGCTAAATTGTAGTAAGTTATAAGATCGAATGAAGAATAAACTACAGTTAACAAGGAGCTGTTTAAGAGATTTTCAAGTTTCGATATGCAGAATGATAGTTGAAGGCAAAACATTTAGAAAAAAAATCTTTTTGCATTTTTCCCCTCAATAGTAATCGTTCGAAAAAAAATTAAAGAAAAAAAATTGATTATATGAAACGATTTTCTGTCAAGAGAAGTGCTTGTCGAATTCCTATTCAGAATTTTAGGTAAAATGCCTCTGGATTCTATCAAGAAACGTTTTGCGAACAGTCTTATCGACACTTTTGAACAATATATGATGTTCATAAGATATTTACAATGCATTTCACACATTCTATGAAAGGTGTCAAGATGTCAACATTTTCTTGAAAGTACAGAAAACAGACTGGTAGGCTTAGTCGTTTACTGAAGGTACGTCGTAGATATTTTACTTTGTTTACAACCTGGTTTCAGATAATCAAATATTTTCTCGCGTTTGTTTTAATTGCTATTGTTAAGGAAAAAAACTTAGCACTACTGCTTACATTCGCTTTGTTGTATAGATTAGTGATTATGATAAGTCTGGAGAAAGAAAAAACATTATATTTATGTCTCTTATTAACAATAAACAGAACGCAGTATTTTCAATTAGTATTCCAGATAAGTGTCCTTTAAATGTTAAATTTCTCCCCAAAGTATTAGTTGAACCTGAAAGTTTTCATAAGTACTCAAAAAAGGCAGGCTCGTATGAAAGCTAAAATCAATGTTTTAGACCGTGCTGTTGTTTCTATCCTAATATTGAATAGTTGTTTTTCAGAATAGAAGCAAATCAAAAGACTTATGAAAGGGGCACAGTATTCATTTAATAAGTACCGTAAAAGTGCACTATCTTTGCAACAAATAAGCTAAGAACACATAGTTTCGACTCAAAAACGATTTATCAATTGGAGAACTTCCTGTGTGAGTTTAAGTATACTTGAGAGACTCGAGTTAATAACTTTTAGACCATACTGTACTTTTCATTTCATCAGACTTTGATAAAACATTATCTACATGTCTTAGCAAATTTCTTTCAAACAATAGTATTGAATTGAAAAATCAGATTTAGAAAAGAGTTTTATCAAACTTTGGATAAGATTCAATCATATTTTTAATTAAAATTAAAATGAACTATTGTTTTTATTTTATTTCTTGTAGTCAGTTGAACCAACTGGTACAGTATCAATAGCCAATGATCATCACCATGATTTATCAATAGTTAAAACTGAACATATGGATACTAATGATCAAACATCCTTAGTTCCATCACTTGTTACGGTTCGTAGTGATGTAGTTAAATCTGCTAAAGAAAAAAGTGTTATTATGGAACAAGACATAGATGGTTTAGAATATTCGTCAGAAGAAGAAACTACTGAGTCAAATGAAGAACTTGATTGTATATCTGCGATGAATAGTAAAAAATCGAAATTAGTAAGTTAAAAGTTCAAACTATTTATCCAATTCTAATTTTTATCATTTCTTTTTTTTTGTTTTTAAGGATATCATGATAATAAATCATGATAAAATATATTATCGACCATTTCGTAAAGAATTTTATACAGCTATATCCGAGATAGCTAATATGACAGAAGCGGGTAAAAAGAATTTTTTTTTGTTTAAAATTCTTCTATCTTTTATTTGTAACTCTTTCTAGAAGTTGCTGCTTACCGAAAAGAACTCGATGATATCAATGTAGTTGGTAAACGATGCCCAAGACCCATAAAAACTTGGTCACAATGTATAACATCTGCTAAAATTTTACAATTTTTAAAAAAGTATATTAAAAATTATTTTTTTCGTTTTCTTCAACTAATCATATTTTCTTTAGACTTAATTATGAAAATCCAACACCTATTCAAGCTCAAGCATTACCAATTATTCTTTCTGGTAAAAATATGATTGGTATTTCTAAAACAGGCAGTGGAAAAACATTAGCATTTCTTTTACCAATGTTTCGTCATATAATAGATCAACCACCATTAAATGATGGTGATGGTCCAATAGGTAAAAAGCTAAATATTTTTTGTTGTTGTTGAGAATGAAATTTATTTTTAATTTTAATTGTTTCTTTTTGTCTTAGCTATTATTATGGCGCCAACTCGTGAATTAGCATTACAAACAACAAGAGAATGTAAAAAATTTGCTAAATTATTTGATATTCGTTGTATTGCTGTTTATGGTGGTACAAGTGTATCAGAACAAATTGTATGCTTGATTCTTTTTTTTTATGTGTTAAAAATTTAATCTTGAAATATATTATTTTAGGCGCAACTTAAACGTGGTGCAGAAATTATTGTATGTACACCTGGACGTTTGGTTGATATGTTAACTGCTAATAATGGTATGTAGAAAAATTTATTCATTAATATTTTATGTAAATTATTAAATGTTTTTTTTTTAGGGAGAGTAACAAATGTTCGACGAGTTACTTATGTTGTTGTCGATGAAGCTGATCGAATGTTTGATATGGGTTTTGAACCGCAGGTAAGAATGACCTTCAGTCCACTCGTATTCTATCATAGAATAGAAAAATGATTCTTCTTTAGAATTTTCTATCTCGAGTAACTTGATCTACATCATAAAGTTTTTCCAATTAAAGTTCGAAAGTTTTATCCGTCAAGTAAATCATGGGTATGAGTTCTACTCTCTCAATAAGTTGGAGAACAGTGCAATTAAAATTTCAAGAGCAGAAGAAGTTTCCCTATCTGAAATTCTTTATTTTGATTTACTACTACTTTGTGCTATGATCGATGAGTCTAATGTTATTCGGAGAAAATAGTCACGATAGTCCTATTAGTAGTGGAACCCTGTCGTTTTGCCGCTGTCTTTCATACTGTTAAGCGTCTATGTACAGTTCATATTGACTGACATTATAAATAATACATATTTTTTGAATAGAAAATAAAGAATAAAAGTAGATTGTTGAGATCGGTCAATAAGAAAATATTTGTTTCTAATTCCAATGAAAACAAAATATTCTTTATACTTTTTGTTTTTTTACTAGATGACAAAAATTCTTGATAGTATTCGTCCTGATCGTCAAATCGTTATGTTTTCAGCAACATTTCCTAAAAAAATGGAAATATTAGTACGTAAAAATCTTTATAAACCTATTGAAGTCATCGTTGGTGGACGAAGTATAGTTTGTAAAGATATTATACAAAATATCGTAAGTATTTTAATACTTAATTAATAATAAACTAAATTAAATCTCGTCTCATTTCATTAGGTTATTCTTGATGATGATGATGAACAAAAATATTTAAAATTACTCGAATTACTTGGTATATATCAACCACAAGGTTCAGTTCTTGTTTTTGTTGATACACAAGAACATTGTGATGAATTATTGAACAAATTAATGAATAATTTTTATCCATGTATGTCATTACATGGTGGTATTGATCAATATGATCGTGATTCAATAATAACAGATTTTAAAAATGGTGATATGCCATTATTAATTGCAACATCGGTTGCAGCACGAGGTTTAGATGTTAAACATTTAATTCTTGTTGTTAATTATGATTGTCCTAATCATTTTGAAGATTATGTACATCGTTGTGGACGTACAGGTCGAGCAGGAAATATAGGTTATGCTTATACATTTATTACACCAACAGAAGAACGTTATGCGGGTAATATAATAGAAGCTTTGAAAACATCTGCCGTACCTATACCAGAAGAATTAATTTTATTATGGGATAATTATGTTAAAAAAATGAAAGCCATAGGTATAGAAGTAAAAGTTGGTAGTGGTGGTTTTAGTGGACATGGTAGTTACGAATTCAATTCATCAGAAACACAATTAAAGAAAAAACAAAAATGTATGCAAGCTGCTGCTGCTATGGGTTTAGTAGATTTTGATGAAGAGGAAGAAAGTCAAGTTGTATGTGTTTAATATTTTGATTTCTTTTAGAATATATAAATAATTTCTTTTCTGTTCTTTTTTTTTTTTTAGATTGATCAACAAATTCAATCTTTATTTACTAAGAGTAAAATAAAGATTAAAACTAAAGATAAAGCATCAGTTAATCAAAATGAAGAAACTAGTAGTTCAACAACTGTAAATGATGTAGCATCGAAATTAAAATTAGCTACAAAAACAGCAGCTAGGTAAATATTATTTTATTTATATTTGATTTGATGATGAATACTAAAGGATGCAGAGCTGGAACCGGTACCGGTACCGGACCGGTTGAAAAAGCCAACCGGGCCGGATGAAACCGGAATTTCACCGGTATGAGTTTCTAAGAAAAATTTGTTGCTTAACGATATTTTTGAAAATTAATGCTAAAAAGTTGTCTATATTTGTGCTTGAGAATGTGCAAAAAGGCTCAAAACATCTCATTTTAATTAAAGCAGGAGATTTACGAGAAAGAAAAACTATTTCTGATTCTTGCNCTATATCATACTAGTAAGAATTAAGATTCTTAAATGTCCTAGTTCAAATCAGAATTCCAATCTGAACTAGGATGATTCCGAACTCAACTATATTCTAAACAGTACTGTGACATATATATATGTATATGCTGATAATGTCACATCAATTCATCGTTATGTTGAGATTCTATTGATAAAACAATCTCAGCATGACATTTTTCGTATTTTCAAGGCATCAAACCACTTATGCTTGTCAACTACTATGTAGTTATTTTGTAAGAAAGTTTTCATCATTGCTAGAAGACCACTGCATTCAACATGATGAATACTTTTTATAATAGATTACCGCTGGGTACAAGTTACAAAGAAAAGTATTTTTTATTTCAAGGACATTGAGCTAATTTCACTGTTTTAGAAAGTTTTAAGAAGAACAACACAAAACTATATCATCAATTGTTATGTTTCATGTTGAAAAACTTTGTTAGTCAATCTTTGTATATATATCGATCATAGAAAGGATTGTTCGTATGATTCCTTTAGTGTTTCGAATGAACTGAAAACTGAATGATTTTTAACAATTTAGATTCATAGGAAACTTGATTTTTTCACTATAAAAACTTGAAATTAAATTCAATTGTGTCTAACTTAATTTCATACTTTCGTTTCGTCTTGTACATTAATTCTATAGAACCTGTCATGACCACAATAATAACTCGACATTTTACTTCATCACATATATAACAAATGTTTACATGCCACATCTCAATCAACAGAACATAAATACGGATTCCAAATCTGATTATTTTTGTGCTAAATGCCCTTACTTCATGAAATATAATGACGGATTGTTATTGGAACTGTGATAGATTCTATAGAGGCAATATTAAAAACGAAACAAAATGGTGAAATTGTGTTAGACATAATCTAATTTGATTTCAAGTTTTTACAGAGAAAACAAACGATTTACAAAACTATACTGTTTGAAAAACATACTTTTGCCAGCTTCTTTGACAAGCTAATGAAAGAAATCTTGCAACTGCTAAATTGCTTTTGCGTCAAGACTATATACATTATTATAGATCCAAATGAGCTATAAATACCCCTAAAAAGATTTCATGTCGTTCGATTATTGTCGCGGAGATACACTGTACTTGTATGGTATATTTAAAATGAATGACCTGGTAACAGAAAAAATGATTTTCAAGTTTCGACTTGAAACTCTGCTTACAAAGACTGATCTTAACGAGAATCATTTTTTGTGAATGTTTCAAGTCATTTTTAATTTACTTCTGTCTTGAAATTAGAGCATAAAATCTGTCTGTTTATTTGAGCGATTTAAAAGACATAATATTACCATAGTTGTATCTTAGAATAGGAACAGCGACAAGATCTAATGAAATATTCACACAAAAATCGATTCTTGTTAAAGCCTATCCCTATACAAGGTTTCAAGTTGACATTTGAAAATCAATTTTTTTAAACCATGAAACTAATTTATGAAAAATCATAAAATCAGAGGATCTCTGTTGCAATAAGCTAAGTATCTGAACTCTTTTGAAGGTATTCGTAGTTCATTTAGATCTATATAATGCACATAGTCTTTACTTAAAAGTAATTTATCACTTGAATGACTTTCTTTGGAAACTCATGATTTTCATACGATTGGTATATACATAGGCATTCACTAATAAAATTCTTCAACATGAAATATAACAATTTATGATGCAGTTTTGTATTATTCTTTCTAAAACTTTATAAATCAGTGAAAGTGACTGAATGTCCTAGAAATAAAAAATACTTTTTTTTAAAACCTGTACCCAGCGGTAATCTATCATAAAAAGTATTCATCATGCAAGGCACAATGGGTTCCTTCGAATAATGCATGATGATGAAAACGTTCTTATAAAATACATACGTAACCGTTGTCAAACATAAGTAGTTCGATACCTTGAAAAGATGAAAAAGGTCATGCTGAGATTATTCTGTCAATAGAATCTCAACATAGCGATGAATTGATCTGACATTATCTGCATATACATATTAGAAACAATTATATACGGTACATAACATAGACCAAACTATTGAAATTCATCTAGTTGTTGAGATATAAAGATTGAAACAAAAGGAACATTATTTACCGGTTGGATGATTTTAAATAGCATTGTGTTTTATTATACGATAAACAACGGATATAGGGGTGGGTTCTATTAAATCTAAACATCAAATGATCTAGAAGAAGCTGAAAACTTTTGGAATTATGTTTTTATTTTGTGTATATAAAAGTACAATATCTTTAAAGATAATCTTTTTTTCTGTTTCAATCAAATTGTTTCATTCACCTAAATGAACATTTGTTTTTATATTATAACAAATCTATAAAAACAAAAAAAAACAATGTTCATGAACTAACTCAAATCTACTGAAGATGGTCTACGTTCTTGTTTATTTAATGATTGTGTTCGTTTACGAATCACACGTTCATTCGATGCTGCTGTTTTTCTATAATATTTAAAAAATGCAATTAAATTCAATAATTTATTATAAACAAAAAAATTTAATTTTACCGTTCTTCGATAGCTTTTCGTTCTTCATCACTTAATCCTTTTGGAACAAGACTTGCATCACGAATTAATGCTCGAATGCGATCTAAACATTGACCTTGATTTAATAAACGATGTCGAGTTTCATCAGAAAATATTATAAAATAACCATCATGATTAATACGTGTTCGATTCTAAAAAAAAACAGAAACATTTTTGTAAATAATAATTTATATAAAACAAACCATATCATGAAAGCGTGATTTTATCGAATCTGGTATCCATGTTGCTGAATCAACATGAAATCGAATTTCTACACCACTTAATGCTAATCAAAATTTCAATATTATAATCAGAAAACACATAAAAATGTCTTACTTTTATTTACATGTTGACCACCTGGACCTCGTGCATGTCGATGTGTGATTTCGACTTTATCTAGACAATAAATTATTCACTTATATAAAAGAAATAATGATTATTTAATCATACCTATTGGAATAAATCCATTGAATTTTGCATTACCTGTTGATTCACTTGTAGGCTAGGATCATCAAATGAGTATAAATAAATAAATATATATATATATATATATGTTCTTCATAAAAGAAATTTACCGATTTGATAGGTCCCGAGAGAATATCATGCGATTTACAATTTGGAAATAATTTATCATAAGATAAATTTGATTGATATGTTCGACTATTAATTAAAATATGTCGAGTTGATAAGCAAAGACATTGACGATAGACAAAATTATACACTGAATTCATCTAAAAGGAAAATAATTTTGTCAAATAAATGTTTTGTATAACGAAAAAAAATTTAGCCTATCTCAACATATTCAGTATTAAATGAAATACTAACAAAAAAAAGATAATTTTATTATAATAACGAATAGAATATAAATGAGGAAGGAATTGTAAGAAGTGCAACATCATTATTAGTCCTGCTAATTATATCAAAAACAAACAACTTTATTATTCATCACGCAAAATACGTAGGGAAAAAAATCGGAAAGAAACTAAACATCTATTATTATAAATTATCGTGATTGTGGTTATTAATAAAACAGGTATAATATTATTCAGGAACTCAAATATCCGGTTTGCACATGTCTAAAATTTCCTATATTAGCTGTCAAAGGTATTCATTAATTTTATGAAAAATTTGTATCAAAAATTAAAAGAAGAGCCATGTTGGCAAACTCGATACATACATACTCTATTGATTAGGTCGTAGTTAATTCCGTAATTTGCTCGATTATAGAGTAGCAAAAAAAAACAGGCTCCAAGATAATTGAGTTGTTTTAATGCTCATAGCGAGAATGATGGAACCTGATCAATCAAAGATTTGTACGGGCTAGGTCTTTACTGTCAACAAAATTACAACATTTACTTTTCACAAGATGCCATGTCTAATATGAGACTAGCGACTCGGCATTCACAATCGATCAGTTGCTGTTATCAACACTGATATTAAACTTCAGATGTAATATTGAAAAAAAAAACACTTGTTTTAAATAAAAGAATCAAATAAAAAGTTTCCATATTTTATTTTGTGTATGCTTAGGTACATGATTAAAGAATAAGAAGAAAGGAATAAACACCTAAATTTCATCATACATACGACGAACAAAAAAACTTAAACATAATATCTAATTATACTAGACGAATAAAATAAACAAAACAAAACCATGAAATTTTTGAAATAGTATTCTAAGTCAAAGAACTGTTGTCGAGATTAACAATGCAAATACTATTGAGGAAAAAAAATGAGGAAATCTATTCTCATGATGATTCTAACCGACCATAATGGACGGAAGCAAAAACAAAACTAATGAACTAAAAAGTACAAAGATTCATTTGTTCTTTGTCGTTAAGCTTTAACTTGATCATTTTCGTTCATTGGCACCATTTCTTCATCATTGACTTTCTTTTCTTCTGTAGCTGTAGTTGTTTGAAATTTAGCCCATTTACGTGGTACAGCTGAGCCAAATAATAAAAATACCAGACCACCAATAAAATAAACTATACCAAACATAACAAATAATTTTCTCCATTGTTCGAATACTGGTTGTTTGACAACCATACCAGCAACAAGATTTCCGATTAAACCAGCTAGTGATGCAAATGTATTAGCAATACCAAAAATGACACCTGAATATGCTGGAACAATATCAGCGAAATTTACGGAA